CCTCATCCTCCCTCTCCTCCTCCTTCTCCTCCTCCCCCTCCTCCCCCTCCTGCTCCTCCTCCTCCTCCTAATCCTCCTCCTCCTCGCCTCCTCCCCTCCGCCTCCTCCTCCTGCGCAGAATGCCGCCACCGGCGGCCAGTCAAGCCGACCCGTGAAAACTGAGCCTGGCTTGCAACCAAAGAGCGCCTCACGGCCGTGCGGTCACGATGGACGCTCTTGTCGGATAACGATATCACACTCCATAAGCATTCGCTTACAGTAGGAGCTCGACGACAAGAACTCTTCCACAAGAAACCCAAGCCTGGGAACCCAGGACGGCAATCGAGTTTTGGTGAGGGAGCGCCACGCTCTCCATCGCAAAATCATCGAGGCCCAAGAAGCCCAGGGCACCCTGGAGGCAAGCAGGGTAGCAGGGTGCTTCTTGGCATGGGTTTCACCTGTATGTGCTCCACACGATCCCGGGGGAAAACTTCACCCACCTGAGCAAAAATGTTGCGCGGAATGCTGCCAACGGCGGCCAGCCAATCCGACCCGTGAAAACCGAGCCTGGCTTGCAACCAAAGAGTGCCTCACGGCCGGGCGTTCACGATTGATGCTGTCGGATAGCTATGTGAAAATTCAGAAACATTCGCTTATGGTGGGAGCTGGGCCACAAGACACCTTCCACAAGAAAACCCAACCCTGAGACCCCAGGACGTCCATGGAGCTTTCGTGCGGGAACGTCACGCAGTCCATAGCAAAACCATCGAAACCCAATACGCCCAGGGTACTCCAGATTGCGTAATAAAAGGGAGGGGGTCACAACCCTCCCAGACGAGAAGTTTTAGACCCCCCCAGACCATCCATCAAAGGGCGGCCCTTTGCCCAGACCCCCCCGGAACCCTCCGAGACAGCTCAAATCAGACCCCCCCCAAATGTGACCCCCCCACTTTATCATGGAACCTGGAGGACCCTGGACGCAAGCAGGGTGATTCTTGGCATGGGCTTCCACTCTATGGAGGTCCGCGCGAATGCCTTGGATCCTCGCTGGGCCCCCCCGCCCTGGCGCGCGGAGCGCGCCGGGGGTGGCGCCGGAGGCACCGCCAAGGGCGCCCGAGCGCCGACCCGAGAAATCCGCGAGGAGCTTCGAAAGTGCAGGCTTCTGTGGTGCTCGTCTTGACTGCGCGTCCCCCTTCCCCCCACCAATTGAGGGAGAAGGGGAGCATGCCTTGGGATAAGAGAAGCACTTGGATAAAGAAAAGCACAAAGAGAGCATCTGGAGGAGAGAAGGGGGAACCTGCGTGATCAGTCGCAGGTGCCACCAGGCATGGCACGCTTTGCTGCTGCGGCGCCCCGAGTCCGCACGGGCTCGAGAGCGCCGCCGCGCCCCCGGCGCCAGAGCTGGTCCCAGCAGGAGGCGCTCACACGGGAGCTGCCGAGCGGCGGCCACAGGCAGTCGAAGCAACGCCGCCGGCACCTGCAGGCTCGTGGAGGCGACCCGCTGGTCGGAAGCAGCACGTGGAAGCACGGAGCAGGAGGGCGGGTAACGAGGTCGATTGGGTCCGAGCCCGCCCAGAAAAGGGCATGGGGTTCGCGGCCACTTCTCGAGGGCCGGTGTTGTCTCGTCCTGGGCAGGACTTAAGCGATACTAGGGCTCGGAAGTGAAGGGCATCACGTTTTTCCCTACCTAGGCTCTGCCTAGAAGGGTTCTTACCCTGTATGCTTAAAGAGCCGGGCAGTGCTCCCCGCCCCCGGGCGGTTCCCCCAGGATCTGCCCCGCGGTTCCCCAGTCCCCTGGGAGCTTTAGCTTTAGCTTTAGCTTTAGCTTCAGCTTAGATTTAGCTTAGCTTTAGCTTAGCTTTAGCTTAGCTTTACCTTAGCTTTAGCTTAACTTTAGCTCAGCTTTAGCTTAGCTTTAGCTTAGCTTTAGCTTAGCTTTAGCTTAGCTTTAGCTTAGCTTTAGCTCAGCTGTATCTTAGTGGTAGCTTAGCTTTAGCTTAGCTGTAGCTTAGCTGTAGCTTAGCTGTAGCTTAGCTTTAGCTTATATTTAGCTTAGCGTTAGCTTAGCTGTAGCTTAGCTTTAACTTAGTTTCAGTTTAGCTTTAGCTTAGCTCTAGCTTAGCTTTACTGTTACTACTAATGCTGCTTTCCTAGGGGCTCCAACTCCTAGGTAGGGTCGCACTGGGATAATTTTTTAGTGCGGGCGGGGCGAGACGGCATCGGAGATCTGGGGAGAGAGACTTTGGTCCGAGAATTGCCAGCTGCCCGACGTAAACGAAGGGTACTCCACCATGCTCGTACTGGCAGGCGCGCAGAACACACTGTTTGAGACTGGCGTGAGAACAAGTGGGCGGCGTGGTTGACAAAAGTCGGCCAAAGAGGAAGGATGATGATGATGATGAGGAGGAGGAGGAGGAGGAGGAGGAGGAGGAAGAGTGGGAGGAGGAGAAAACGGGAGAGAACTTAGCAAGGCCGGGCCATCGCCAACCGACTCATGTTTATTATTGTTATGCGCCTGCGCTGTGCAGAACGACCGCTCCGTACGGCAGCGGAAGGCGCAGCAGCACGAGCTGCAGCTGCACGCGCGGCAGCATCGCCGACCGACGGTGGCAAGCCTGGGCACCCCGCGGGCCACGGGCGTGCGCCCAGGGCGCTCTGCGCTCCTCGGGGCCTCGGCGCGAGCAGAACCTGTAGAGGTCAGGAGGAGGAGGAGGAGGAGGAGGAGGAGAAAGAGGAGGAGGAGGAGGAGAAGGAGGAGCAGGAGGAGGAGGAGGAGGAGGGAGGAGGGAGGAGGAGAGAGGAGGAGGGAGGAGGAGGAGGAGGGAGGCTATAGAGGCCTTGTTCTTGGAGATCGTTTTTGTTGTTTTGGTTCTCCGCGGCGGCGGCCGTTCCCGGCCCTGGCCGCCCCCCCCTTCACTCCCCCCCCACTCTACGACTGAAACAGCAGTTTCGGAACTGCGAGGCAAGAATACCCATCGGTCGGAAAAAGTAGGTAGAAACATAACATAGGAAGGCGTTGGAAATAGATTGGGTTTCCGCCCGCCTCCTGAAGAGGAAGGAAGAGGGAAAACCACTCGACTCTTGAAGTAGGAAGGCGCTGAGAGTAGATTGGAATCTGGGAATCCAAAAATACCTACTTTCAACGACCGGTGGGTATGTTGTGAACTCGGGGCGTGCAGGAGACGAGAGCTCAGAAAGCAACGAGCTCGTGATCGAGCAGGCCCACTGACAAGAGCAGTTCGTGGAACCCCGAGGAACAGCGGAAGCTGGCACCAGGTAGCGTCGCGATTCGTGCTGACCTCTGGACTGGCTTTCTGTCGGGCCTGTCCCCCTACAGGGGGATTTTCGACGAAAAATAAAAAATACCCCCAAAATGCCCACAAAAAGGTCAAACAATAGTCCCTTGACTATTTTTTGAATATTTCTAATTTTTCCTCGAAAATCCCCATGTAGGGGGACAGGCCCGACTTAAGACTGGCGTGGCTTGCTCCCAGACGTTGTAAGACGGCGCCGGCGCGGAACGTGACGACACCGGCTCTGCGCCGCCGCCCACCCCACCTCCCACGTGCGAACCCGACCCCTGCCCCCCAACGACTTCCGAGGGCCCGCTTCGGAGCCCAGGGCCATGGGGAGGCGGTCCGGGAGGAGGAGGAGGAGGAGGAGGAGGAGGAGGAGGAGGAGGAGAGGAGGAGCAGGAGGAGGAGGAGGAGGAGGGAGGAGAGAGGGAAAGGAGGAGGGAGGAGGGAGGTGGGAGGAGGCAGGAGGGGAGGAGGGAGGAGGGAGGAGGAGGAGGAGGAGGAGGAGGAGGAGGAGGAGTGAGGAGGAGGAGGAGCGAGCGCGGCCAGGGTGGCGCCCTCCGAGAAGGAGGGGGGGTTCACTTCGCTCGAGAATCCGCACGGCCGCGGGCGGGGGGGGGGGAAAACCCCCCTCCTCCTACCCTCCTCCTCCTCCTCATCACTCCTCTCTCCTCCTCCTCCTACCTCCTCCTCCTCCTCCTCCTCCTACTCCCTCCTCCTCCTACTCCCTCCTCCTCCTCCTCCGTCTTCCCATCCTGGTGTGTTTGATCCTCTGCCTGAGCCTAGGTCGGGCATGTCCTCCTACCAGCTGATGTTGGAAGAAAAGCAAAACATAGCCAGACATGAATCAACAATAATCACAGGAGCACGAACATGGGGGAACGAACAGTGACATAAGCATAGAAACTCGGAGGTCCGCGCGGATTTCTCGGATCGGCGCTGGGGCCCCCTGGCGGCGCCTCTGGCGCCGATCCGCGAAATCCGAGAAATCCGATCCGAGAAAACCGCGCGGACCTCCCAGTTTGGTATGTTTTTATGCAATTTATCGCCCCCCCGATTGATCAACAGCAGCCAGAGGAGCACGCCACATCGTCACCAGACCATTTCTTTGACCACTCCCGACCCTTCCTCCTGCCGGGGGGCACGCCCGACGTACTGCTGGGCACGCCGCGGCTCACTGCCCGCCCCTCGCGGCACGGGCGCGGGGCAAACACGCCGTCGAGCTCCGCCTCGAGCGCGGGGGGCGACCTGCAGGGCCCCCGGGGAGCGGGCAGGGCGCGCCGGGGCTGCGCGGCCGGGTCGGGAGGCCACCCCCGCGGGAGGCGAGGAGGCAACTGCTTATGGGAGGTCTTCTTCGGAAGGACTGATGAGGGAGGATGGTGAAAGGCTCAGGGTGAAAGGCGTCTGGGCTTCTGCACCTCGAAGATCCATCCGTCTCGTGAGTCACCTTTTGCAGATTCAAGCCTCGAAACTCAATCGAAACGGCATTTCAGATTTCACCCTGTGCCCTTCACCCAAAGAAGATGCTTGGCTGATGAGGGAGGACTGAGCCCCATTTGGGGGTCCATCACGCCGGAGTGGGCCGAGGAGGAAGCGGGATTCGGCCGAATGAAGCGGGAGTGAGCCGGATTGAGCGGGATTGAGCCGCATTAGGCCGGATTCCGGACCAGGGCCAAAGTAGAAGTTGACCTCCCAAGAGTTGCATCCGAATGCAGGGCTGCGCGGCCAGGTCAGAAGGCAACTGGGAAGAAACTGCTGGGAGGTCTTCGTCGGAAGTCAGCAGCTGGGCGAGGGCTGGCCAACCCGTGGCTGCTAAAACGATGTTCCGGTAAACAACACACAAGTTCTTGGAAGAAAACTCAACGCGCTGCATAATAAATGGGCTGCTTCCCGGACGAAAAAACAATTTCCTGGAACTCCGTTTTAGCAGCCACGGGTTTGCCAGCATTCCCCTGGTTTCTGAAAGATCGGTTAAGGAGAATTGAGCCCCATTGGGGGGTTATTACGTCGGAATGGGCCTCGGATTAAGCGGGATCGAGCCGGATTCAGCGGGGCTAGGCCTGATTAAGCGAGGTTGAACGGGATTAAGCCGGATTTCGGACCAGGGCAAAGTCAGAATTTGACCTCCCAGGAGTTGCATAAGAAGGGAGGTCCTCGTGAGAACGATTCAAAGCTACTGAGCTCGTTTAGGGGGCCATTGAACGGGATTCTGTGCCGGAGCAAGCCAGTTTTCGACGACGGGCACGCAAGCGCCAATATTGAGTGAAACTTCCCAGAAGTTGCATCCGGGGGCACGGCGTGACCAAGTGTAGGACGAAGCCCAAGCCGAGACGAGCCGGACTTCCGCAACTCAGAGAGCCAACGGCTCTGGAGTGTGAGTCGGACTCCGCAGACGTCCCAAAGCGCTCCAGAACGCACTGAGAGCGTCTTGGAACGCTCTGGAGCTCCTCACCTGGGCCATGGATCAGCGGCAGCGGGACGGCTGGAAGAAAAAGCCGGGCCGCCCAGGAAAGCGGAGCCTCGAGAAGCGTGCCCACGAGGGGGGATCGCCAATCATGGCCCGAGGCACGCGCGCGGTCCACGGGGACCCAGCGCGGGTCCAAAAACTCCGCGCGGAGCGCCCAAAGTTTATGCTTACGGCGTTTTTTTTCTTGGCTATTGTTTCATCTTCGAGCACTGGAATGACAGTCGGACACTCCTCGAGAGCGGGGCAGAGCAGAGACACCCGGCCGGCTGACTGGACGAACCCTCGGAGCAGCCAAGAGAGGCCCGGACCCAGACCTCCTCCGAACGGCTTGGCCTTGCGAGATGCCGGCCGCTGGAGCCCCCAGCCCCTTTCCCGGGCCTAAAGCGAAGGGGGGGGGACTAAGAGGGAGCGAGCGAGCGAGCAGAAGCCGAGGGGCAGTTGGATCCAGAGACGGGGAGGGAGGTACGGCCCTCACAACCCCCTCCCAGCACCTACACGGTGGAGCCCGAAGGCCAGGACCACCTTGCAAGCGCCAGGACGGGGCGTGGGGGACGTACCTACCTCAACGCAGCCGCGGGCGGCCACGGAGCACGGGGCCTGCGGCAGGCCCGTGCTCACCCGCACGAGTCCCGCCGAGGCGGCGAGGAGCTCCTCGAGGGCTCCCAGCGCCTTGAGCTGGTGCAACCACCACACCCAGTCCAGCGCCAGGGCAACGAACGGCATGCCCACGTGAAAAACGCCGCCGCCGTGGCAATCGAAGGGGACGCTGAAGCGCAGCATCTCGATCGAACCACGGCAAAGCTGACAGGCGCTCCCGCCACATAGAGCATTCCAGGGCCAGCTAAGCTGCAACCGCAAGAAACTCGGACGGAAGCCAGCCTGGCGACGAACGAACCTGCCGCCCCAAGGGCACAGGATTTGAAAGCAAAACAAGTTGTCGAAGCCACCGAGGATCAAACTCCACATCGCGGCTCCAATTCTGTGTGCAATCAAGGCTGCCCACTCACTCCGACTCTTGGTCGTCATCATCATCTTCGGGAATGTGGCCTAACTCCACGGCCTCGCAATACTCGAGCCCGTGCGCCAGGAGAATACGTGATGTGTCCAGGAGCCTCTGCTTCCTCATAGGGGTCTGAACGGCGCTGCTGCTCAACTCCAACTCCCACTTCTTGGTCACTCTAACCATGTTACGTGCTGGCCCTGATGGCGACCTCGGGGGCTCGAGCCTAACATGAGCTCGAATCGCCTGTGGATGCCTGAGATTATCAAAGTGCCGTCGGTTTTCCACTTCGCGGCCACCTCCATGCTTGCCTTTACACTTCTGAGCCAGCCCTCGATGATTCTTGGAATCAGAACAGACATGATGGCAGCACGTGGAACATAACAAAATAAAATGCGGCGAATCCACCATCGGATATTCCACTAGGCTGTGCCCTGCTACATGCCATGGCCCCAGGAAACCATCTAGCTCGTCTTCCAGGACCAATTCCCAGAGAGGCCCATTGCCCGCCATGGCGGGCAGAGACGACTGCACAGGGGCCTCCAGCTCCCCCTCATCTTTCAGCGGGAAATGGCAGTCCAGGCCCTCAGCGTTGCAATCACACAGCCATGCTTGAAAACTCCCAAGGTACTGCAGTAGCATTTTGTGCAACTTCCTGCAGCCACGAACGAAATCCACGTGCTCACCCCCTGGCATATTATATGCAGCCCCTCGCTTCGCCAAGGCATCCGCTGTGGAGTTGCCCGTCTTCTCAAAATCAGACAAAACGCCTTCAATCACATCCGTCGGTGTTGCATGGCCCTTCACATGCTTGAACGCCTGCCGATGGAACTCCTCATTCTGAGCAATCAACTTCCAAACATTGGCTCTAGGATTGCCTGCTCCCACTGCCAGGCTAGGAGAGTGACGATGCGACAGCGTGCCTTTGCAGTCTGAGAGCACCGTGTATGGTCCAAGAACCTGCCTGCTGACCATCAACATCGCATAGTCCTCTCCACACTTTGCCACTTGCAGGGGGCGCAAATCTTTTGGCACTGCACCGTAGTATCTGGCCACCCTCCTGCGCTCATGGTCGCATACTACAACTGACCATCCAACGCCTCTCATGCACGGCGTGTCCGTGTAGAAACCACTCCCGTCAGTGAAAACAAAGCCTCCTTCAATATGAACAACTCCTTTACGATCCATGTCATAGAAGTGGCGTGCTGGGTTCCTGCTCGGATAAGCGAAAGCTTGAGCAGGGTCAGGAAGAAGGCCACGGCAGAAGAGAGTTTGTAGGGCCTCAGGGGCCTGCTTCATACGCTCGACTGCACTGTGGAGCTCCTTCGGGGGCCTCTCCTGCCTGGAGAAGTGGTACGCGTCGCACTCAAAGAACCTATGATAGAACGTGCCTGGGCAACCTTGGCACCTCAAGCATACCGAGGGCTCCCCGTTGAAGGACTTCGAGGCCCTGTACTGGCACCAGTGAGCCCCCGAGCACAGGCCCCTGAGAGACCTCCGTTCCCTTGGCGGTAACTTACTGCGCTTTGAATGTAAGACCTCGTTCATGGGTATCCACAATAAAAATCCTTGAGGGACTCGTGAGTCAGCATCTGCGAGCCTGTGGAGAGCTTCCCTATCAATATGCCTCCGAACCCCATGCTTCACCATCGAGCTCAGTGGGGCTGGCGGAGAGGTCCTGACGTCCCAAAGCGGCTCGTCGTCACCTCTGATGGTGTGGACGTCCCCCCAAGACCACCCAACCCTGTGGAGCGAGAGGAGAAGCGCGGCAATCGGGTTTTTGCACATGGCCCAGCGTTGTGGATCCAGTTGCAGCGGCCTCGCTTCTTTGAGCAACCTGTCCACGACCGCCCATGCGACGGCCTGTGAATTCATGGCGACAGCAAAGGTGTGGACCGCGTCCATCGTCGCAATGACCAAGGGGTCCTGTTGCCAGCCGCACTCTGCCGTCAGCAGCGACAGACCCACATATGCACCTGGCTTGTACTTGCCAACGTTCAAGTACGACATGCGAAGGGACTGGATCCTCGAACTTGCCACACCGTGGATGCTGGAGCCCCATAGATATTTTGCCAGGACCCCTGCTCGATGCACAGCTGATTTTTGACGACCCAGTCCCTGGAGAGCTTTGACACGCACCCCTCGCTGCAGAGCCTCTGAGATCCTCGAAACCTGAGTGCTGATCCTCCTCATCCTTCCGTCAATGGCCTCTCCCCCTAGATCTCCATGAAAGGCATCGCGACCAGGGCAAATAACATCTTCTGACCAAAGATCTCGCAAATGCGCTCTTACTTTGCGGACAACTTCACCATCGCTGCGCAACGGACCGCACTTGTCCCGCGAAATCGGGAGCCTGCGGTCCCCCATGCCTCTTAACAGCAACGTTAGACCAGTAATCGCCTGATCTGCAACCTGAGTGGGCCCACCTATCACATGCAAGCTGATCTCATCGATCAGGTTCTTGATTCTGATAAGGTTACACTTAGCCCCATATGCTCCTGAGCGTGGTGATCGTCATCAACTTGGCCAACCCTGTAGCGCATGAGCAGCCTGCTATTATGGACCCGCTCGCGTTCATGACCTCCGAAACCGGTTGCTGGTACACGGCCCTCCTCGGGCCTCTGTGCAAGGCGCACAAGGGCCTCAGAAGTGCCAGGGGGAAAATCAGTATCCCTGGCAGCACACAAAAGTTCCTGGTGGCTGACCATTTCATAAAACTTGCGGAGGTCCACAAACGCGCTGAAACTTACAAAGCCTAACTGGAGAGCCACAGCCGCAAGGGTGTTGTGTATCCAGGCGGACTTGTCACATGAGGTCTCACTACAGGCTCCCCAGAAAAAAAAACTATCGTGCAGTTTGGATTCCCACTTGGAGACCTGCTTGTGTCTCAATCTGGACCAAATTCTAGCAAACAAGGGCAGCAGGCCGATGGGTCTTTCTCCCCCTTGTGGTTTGGGGAGAAAGACGATGAGAATGAGCCGTATGTCGGTGTGCTCTGGCTCAGCTTCCCATCGATATAAAATCAGGATCAAAGCCTCTATGAGAGGCTCGGGCAACTTTTCAATCCACCTCGGGTGAAAGGAATCCCAGCCTAGACAGGTGTTGGGCCTAAGCGACCCCAGGGCTGCTCGCACCGCTGCTGGCTCTAGCTCGGGAAGGGGGGCCGCGCCTGAAACATCCCAGGAGAGGGGGTGGGGCCCCAGGTCCCTGGACGGAAGCTTCCAAAGCGAGACCCATGTCCCCAGCATGGCCTTCAAGGCCTCATGCCCCACGACAGGCACCGAATCAGCAAGCACTGGCTGGGAATTGCCCTGAGGGCCCCGGGAAGACTTATGCCCAAGACTCCCTCCTCTCTGGAACGCGAGCTCTGGAAACTCCTTCCAAGACTGTCGAGCCGCCGACGCATCCTTGCTCGTTTGCTGCTGCGCACGACGCTGAAGCAAGACGCACGCCTCAACGCGAGAGTCAGGATCCCCAAGACGAGCAAGGAAGGCGGCATGCGAGCTTGGTGACACAGCCTCCTGAGTCGACTCAGCCTCCTCCTCCCCCGAATCCCTCCAAACGCTACCGACCTCCTCCATGCGTGCAACAGCGCTGCTGCTCGCAGCATCTCTATCTGGGGCCGTGGAGTCTTGCGCGCGGAGCCACTGCAATGTCACTCTGCGAAGCGTTATCCACTTCTGAGTTAACGCGCTGGCCTTTCTTCGGGCACTTGTTTCCCAGGCGCAAGACAGGGGCACTTTTTCCAGAAGGCAGCCAGCAGCACGACCTGAATAACGGGGCCCGTCAAACTCGGGCAGCCCCGTGTACATGCACAGATACAGCTCAGCGGAAGAAAAACACCTGCGCGCAAGACTGCCCACTGACTCCCCTGCGCAAATTTCGGAACCTGGCCAGCCCGAGATGTCCCCTGGAACGAAGGCCCCCCTCTTCTTTGGGAGCCTGAACGCCTCGGGCTGGATCCGTCTGTAAATGAAATTGTGGCTTCCTACCCCCGCCATCCTGAGGACGACCGCTTTGTGGGGCCCCACGGGAGTGTCATGCCGAAGGCATATGCTACGGACGAAGGGCACTAGCACATCACTCATCACGAAAAGTATACGCAGCTGTCGACGCACGTGGGCTGTTCTGCGCGCGCAACCTCCGCGTGCAACGCGTTTAAGAAACCATGCCGAAGAAAACTGTCGGTCCCAAAAAGCTCAGCTTCGATGTCCCAGTCGCCAGCAATGCAGAAGGGCAGGCGCGAGGCCCGCACGGCCTCAATGAGAGCTCCCAAGAGCTCCACGTTGCCCTTAAGGCCCACCCCCGCCTCCCCGTACACCGAGACGAAGAGAATCTGCATATCGCCTAAAACTGCGCGCTGGAACTTAAGCCTGCTCCTGGGGTGTGCACATGCTGGCAAATACTCTGCAACAGGAATGTGAGCACGCGTGCGCAGGCCTACCCCACAGGACGTCGACAGGGCCGAACTGCCAGTGATCGCACACGGCGACGCCTCCAGCCGATAGCCTCGTGCTCGAGCCCAAGCTTGACCGCGTCGGAACTGCTCACCTGCTGCGAGGCGGAGCCCCTGCAGCACGAAAATGTCCGCCTGTAACAACTGGTCCAGCACGCACCACTCCACGAACCTCTGAACCGTGGCCCAGGAATTGCCGGTGTAGCAAACCACCGTGAACTCCGTGCTAACCCCGAACGGTTGCATCGGCTGCTTGTCACCAGCCACCTTAACCTTGCTATGCGCTGTGCAGGTAGAACTCCTACCGAGCAGCTCCAAATCACGAACAGGAACGGGCTCGTGTGGCACGCCAGGGCCAGGTTAATCAGCGCGTTGCCCTGCAAGTTGCCCATCAGACAGAGGCACGCATCGCCTGATGCCTCTTCTCCGTTCAAATACTCGCACAAGCCCAGGCAGCTGTAGTCAGGGAACAGCAGGCCTCCGTAGGTTACGGGTCGCAAACGATTGTCTTCCACTTCGCCCCCTTTGACCGCATCCGAGGACACGAGGGGGCACTCAATAGCTCGGATTGTGTAGCCGCTTGGGTTTGAAGCCTCCCGCTGCCAAAAGGCGAGCTTTGGCTCGAAGCTCCTCCTCGTCTTCACCCGCGTCAGCCAAGGGGCCGACATCCTTGCGCAGCAGCTCAACCTCGATCGCGTCGGTGTCCCACGCTGCTGGGGGCGGCTCCGATGGTTGACCACCGCTCGCTGCCCCGCGAGCTCGCTTGTCGGGCGGCTCCCCCAGCAGTTCGCCCGCGCAGGACTTGAGCACCTCAGCCAACTTCGGTGCCAGCTTGCAGGCGTCCTCGACGCACTCAATAGCACCAAGCGATGAAAGCAACTGGGCCTCATCCAGCTTGATCTCAAGGCCCGTGAGGTCCATGGCCTGATGCTGTCCTGGCTCATCTGCTGGCTGCGAAGATGCGAGAGCACGCACCTCCTCCTCCAGCTGCAGGCAGACCTTCTGGCGCCCCAAGACCACCAGCGCAGCTGCTCCTCCTGCGCCTGGAGCAGCTTCTGGTCCACTGCCGCCTTGTCCTGCTCCGCCTTCTGGTAGCGGATGCGGGCCTGCTCAGCTCGGCGCGACAAGGCCGTGAGCTTCGCGGGCAAGGGCTTGTTCTCATACAGCTTACGACGAGCCCCCTCCAGCTCCTCGCGAGCAGCTTTGAGTGGTAACTCCGCCCAAGGGGGGCGGACCGACTCCAACCACTGCACGTGCTTGCTGAGACCGTCGATCTCATCGCGTAGCTCTTCCGACTCATTGGACTCCACTGCCGCGTCGCCTCCGCCCGAGTCAGGCGAACCACGCAGCCTCGCGCTCTCGGCCTCCAGCTGCTGCAGGCGCTTCTCCAACTTGACAAACGATGCAGACGCTGCATCATTGGCGCCGTCGGCCTTGCGCTTGGTCCTGCTGGGTGAGTCCGAGGGAATGACGCACTTGAATGCCGCACCCTTGTGCAGCTTGCACTTGTAGCACTTCTCAGTGATCCCATAGTTAATGAGAGGAGCCCCAGTACGACGAAACGTGCAAAACTTGCACATCCAATATTGCTTAGACTCCTGCTGCTTGCCACTCCATGTCCACGGCGCTGGCACCATGGCGACGTCTTTGCTGCGAGTTGGGCCGCCAGAGAGCCCCTGCGGTACTGGCTGAACGAGAAACACTGTCGAGCGCAAGCGCTCTGGCACTGCCGCGGACTAGCGGTATCCACTTGTTCCACTGGGGAACTCAAAGCCTTTGGCCAAAATGGTTTGAGCCAAAATGGCTTGAGCCAAAATGGCTACGGAGGACTAAGAGGGAGGAGCAGGAGGAGGAGGAGGAGGAGGAGGAGGAGGAAAAAGAAAAGGAAAATAACCCCAGGACCTGAAAAAGGTCGGCGGGATTTTGCTCGAGTCGCTCGAGGTCTCCATGGGGCTGCAGCGAATCCGCAGCAGGTTTGGGTGCCAGACACAGCGGTCGCGCAGGTCGGTCGAAGGGCGAGCCTGAAACAGCCAAGAAAAAATGGTGCTTGCATTGGCCACCGGGACGGAACTCCACGAAACATTCTGGCCACCGTGCGCTGCAGCGGTAGGCGTGTACGCTGGGGTCTTTTCGTCATCCTCTTGCTCCACCACGGGGGGTCAATGATGACTGCGACCAGGACAAAATCCGCCTCCGACGACTGGAACACTTGCGCAATAAGGCGTACATGCGCTTGTGCTGAGACGCCACACATCATTCCGTTTGTGCATCAGCCCTCGCGATGCTCGTTTTTTCTTGCCGTTCGGAAAAAAAAAAAACCAGGCTAAGCATTCTAGAACGCCCTGAAGACGCGTTCGCCCTGGGGCCCCTCGGACACCCTTCTAGGATCACTCGAAGCCCCCGAACAAAAACAATTCGGAATATATGTGGAAAGCGGCCGTCGGAAAACGCTCGTGTCACAACCATCGGGTCCAGCGGAAGGGGGGGATAGGAAAGGGGGGGTTTGAGAATCAGCTTATGTAGCTGATTTTCCTGGCGCGTCCGGGCGCCGGAGGTGGCTATGTATCGAAGAGTGGGCCCCATCGGTGGGGCCGGAACCAGCTGCATGCAGCAAATTCCGCACCCCCCCCCCCCCACTTTCCTAACCGCCCCCCTTCGTCCGGCCCGACACCAGCACGTCACGGCATTCACTATACGCACGCACGACAAGGAGCCTGCGTGACACCTTGCCAGAAGGGGAATAGGAGACGCGAAAGATGAGCCTCCGAAGTGCTGGGCAGGTCGTAATCACTGCAATCCCTAATTACACAAATCATCAACGTCTCTACTAGACCCTTCCGAATGCCGAGTCCTGTTGCTTTGCCGGGGCGATCAGCGCGGGGACCGCTGCCGCCGCCTGCACATCGCGCTGCAGACCCAGGCGGATCTGCGATCCTAGCATCCCGCTTTTGAGAGAACGAGCGAGATCGGACAAGCTGACGCGAGTCCCGTCGACAGCCCGCTACTGCGGTAGCCAAGGCCGCCATTGCACGCTTAGCAGTGGTGCCCACCTTGGGGTACGGGGAACGTTGAAACAACCACCCCCCGGCGCATAGCGACTGAGGTAGAAGGCGGGGTGCTGAGCAGGCGATGCGCCACGTCTCTCGGAGGCGCCTCCTGGGGGCCTCATGGCACGTCCCAGGACCGTTTGGGGACGTCTCGGGTGGCGCCAAAGCGCCCTGGACGTAGTGCCAGACGGTCGTGGGAGAGCTGGGGGGCGGTTTCAGTTGTCGGGGGCTCTCTGGGCCCCCACGGGCCGCCGGGGCCCCCCATTGCGTATGTATATACGCACACCTAGATGAACACATACATATCTATATGTCTACATATATATATATTATGTATATAGTATGTATATATATATGTATATATAACTATTCATACACACATACCTGCATGCATACATACAGACCGCATACAAACATATAACCGGCCACACACATGCATGTATACATGTATGTATACATGTATATATGTAGATGTATGATGGATACAAGTTGTCAGAAACAGAGACAGAGAGAAAAAGAGAGAGAGAGAGAGAGGCCACACAATAGTAAAACACAACACATGCCAATTGGAGGTACATGGCACCACTCTCAATGACGCCCCCCAAAAATGGCGCTTGGCCCGCGTGCAGCAGGTCGACGGCCAAGCATGAGAGATGCCACCCCGATCACGCCCCGAGTGCCCCCCCCCCCCACCACCCCCCCACAGATGACCTCCTTGTCGTCCTGCCTCGCTCGCCTGCCACGTGTCGACGATGTCCCGCCTGGTCATGGTGCTCGAGGTGGCGGCGGCGGCTGAAGCACACGACTTGCAGCCCATGCATCACCAACACGTCCGGGAAGATGCGATGTATCCACCGCGCAGCCTGTGGCGAGGAGATCGCGGAAGGAATGAGGCTGGGCACCTCCCACACATGTGCGGAGAACGCGTGATTGCTAGATGGAATCACCAATCCGCCAGCACTCTTGGGAACCAACAGTCTGCGCTCCTCAACCTCCTAGTTCCCCTCTCGCTGAAGAAAGCCTCTAGATTTACTCAGGCATGGCACCCCTTGTGGGTCTCCAGGCGTGTGAGATTCTTCCCCTCCTACAATGTCCCCACCCAAGAGCCCCACACCAGAAATTAAACCGGAAATTTGACCCCCTTCACTGTCCCCCAGGAAATCGGCGTGGGGGGGTAGAGGGCTCCCCTACGCCGAAGAGGGCCCCAAGAAGCACCCAAGACGGTCCAAAAAGGCCCCGAGTCACTGGAAGATCGTTCTCACACGCCCAAAGTGGCGTCCAGCTGGTCAAGCCGAAAGCCGTCAAGAGGCCTCCCACGATAACCCCAAGAACCAACACTCGTCCACTGCCTCGGAACACGGTGCATTTTAAGCATGTGCGACCCTTCGGCCTTCACGGCGTTGAAACTGGCCCAAAGGCCCCCAAACCCTTCCAAGAAACTCGTAAGAGAACTCAAACACGGCCCGAGAAGGCCCCAAAGACAACCGCAGAGGCGCGCAAGGCAGCCCCCAAAAGGGCCCAAACTGGGAGGCCTAACTGACAGTTCGAGTTCCCCGCCCAGAATGCACACAGGAGGCGAGGCCCCCAGCAAATTCCAAGAGGCCCCCAAGACACCCCAATAAGCCCTCCAGAGGCCCAGAAACCAACCCTCGTCCACTGCCTCGGGACACGGTACATCTTAAGCATGTGCGACTCTTCGGCCTTCACGGCGCTGAAACCAGCCCAAGGGCCCCCAACACCGCACCAAGCAACTCACACGAGAGCCCCAACACGGCCGAAGGTGGTCCAGAGACAGCCGAAGAGGTGCCGAGAACAGCCCAGAAAGGGCCCCAAGAAGGGCCCAAAACTGGGAGGCCGAAGTGACGATTCGAGTTCCCCGCCCAGAAATGCACACAAGAGACCGTAAGAGACAACCAACCAAATTCCCAAAGGCCCCCAAGCGGCCCCCAGCATACAATAAAAGGTCCCGACATAACCCCCAAAGGCTTCAGAACTGCTTTCAATAAGCCCCTTACAACACAGGAAACGGTGCCAAGGGTGTGGTCGGAAAAGGAACCCAAAATGGTCCCAAAATCTCCAAAACGGCCCAACAAGTCCAAAACTGTTCAAACAAGGGAGACGGAACCTCAACGTAGATCCAAAACCCTCGTTTTCGAGCGGGTTCCAGGAAACCTCACGAAGTCCCCAAACGCCCCCCGGAGGCCCCCAATGCCCCTACGATTCCTGTTTAAGAACGCCCATAAAACAACATGTTCCTTATGGCGCACAAGGGCCCTCCATTGCTGGATCCCCCCAGTAAAAAACCCAAACGCCCCGAAAAAACGCCGACCCCCACCCCAGAAAACCCTGACACACAACCTGGACACGACGGCAGCATGAACTGGAGGCCATTCGATCTGTGACGGCGTCGTGGCCCGCACGAAGCCTTCTCTTCGTCCGCCTGGTGTTTTTCCCTCTCCCCCGTCCTCGTCTTCTTCCTCGTCCTCCTCGTCCTCCTCGTCCTCCTCGTCTTCCTCCTCCTCCTCGTCCTCCTCGTCTTCATATTCCTCCTCCGTTTTTTTCCGCATTTAGTCTTCTCAGAATCGTAGCCCACTTGTTTGGGGTTCGTCCCGAACCCTCTTTCCGCGGAGTTGGTACGTTGAGCACCAGTGCACACATTAAATCCAAAACGGCCACCCAAGCGGGCTCGCTTGCAAGACTTGCGTTTCATGGTGAAGTATTTTCCCGGCGCGCGCGACACAACCTGCCACCACTGACAACGCCGACGTCGGCATGTTTGTGGACTCGCCGTTGCACCGATGCGCGCACCAACTGCGCGACGTGAAACCGACGTCCGCGCCATGGGCAGGAACCTGAACGAAGCCGTCTCCTCCTCCTCCTCCTGTCGTTCCTCCCTTTCCTTCGTCCTCCCCGTCCTCCTCCTCTTCCTCCTCCTTTTCCGCGCGCTCCTTCCCATAATCGTGCACCTCAAGTTGGCTCTCTTTCCAAGTCCTCCTACACGGATTTGGTGCGCGTAGCACCAGAACACAATCCATATCCAAAGACGTCGCCCAAACGGGCTCACTTGCCAGACTTGCATGTCAAAGTACCGTTTTTTTTTCTCGTCGCGCGCAACGCAGTCAGCCCTCGCGGAGAACGCCGACTTCGCCAACTTGTTTTGGCACGCGCCAATGCGTCTAACGCGTGCTAGCTGCGTTCCGCGCGACCGAAGCCCGCGCAATTTGCGCACAGCACGCGTCTCTGTTTCGTCTCTCGATGGTCCCACTTGTTTGTTCTTCAAATGTTCGTGTCCACGAAAGCTCCCCCACGCGCCGCGCATTTCAGCAACTCTGTTTCCGTTTCTGCCTTCCGCTTGCGATTGTTTGGCCCGGCGCTCATGCGACAACTTGCGACGCTCTTGCGCGCGCTTCCGATGCAGCTTCTGCCCCGCGGCGTCGCGTTCCCTCTGAGATCCCGACATTTCCTGTAGTTCGTCGAATAGCGACAGGCACGTGTCGCTCGAATGTCGCACAGCGCCAGCGCTCTTGAATTCGCGTTGCCACTGCGCGACATCCACTTTGCTTGGGTATGGCTGCGCATCGCTCTATAATTCGCCCCAGTCAGTGCCCGCCCTTGTTCAGCCGCTCCCTCGCCGCCCCCGCTGCCGCCGTGCCGCGTCGGTTCATCGCCCTCCGCTTCGGTCGCCCATGCATCGCGCGCTGCGCGCTATTTCTCGCCCTCGTTCTCAAGCGCGGGCCTGTCCTTGTTCTGGTACTCATACTTCGATGACGCTTCTACCAGCGCCCTCCGCCGGCGCCGCCCGCGCACGCCCCGCGGCGTCAGCTGCGCCCCACCACAGACCTGCAACGGCCCCATCGGCGCGCGGCTCCCTGTCCAAAAGTCGGCGGATCCACGGATCTCTCGCCTTTGCACGCGCGCAATGGCCGCGCGGCTGGACGCCCAACTGACGCCGCGCCCTCCTCCGAGGTCCGCCACCGCTGCGCCCGCAGTCGGCCCTCGCGCGGCGATCGCCGCCACTGCCGCCCACGGCGCGATCATTGCGACGCTCGACGCCGGGCGCCTCCGACGCCTGCCCGCATGCCGCAGTCGCCCAGTCGATGGGGAGATCGGGCGCAGCCCCAGCCCCCACCTGGGAGGCGCCAGTCCTTCGCGCGAAGGTCTAGCACAACGATTCGCAGCAAATTCAACAAGACCCACTCGTCATCATTTCCCACGACGTCGTCCTCGCGCAACGCCCATCCATGAATCGTCGCAGCGCGCCCCCGCAGCGCCTGCTTCTGCGACCGACCCCCGCGGCCCCCCACAATGCCGGGCACGCCGCTCGCCGGCGGAGGCCACCCTGACAAGCTTACGCACCCCTTATCGTGGAGACCTACCCACCGCATCCTGTCCTCGACCGTGCACGGCCGCCTCTGTTCCCCCCCGCGACACGGGCGATCTCTTGCTGCGACCCGCAGCATCCGCGACCCTAGCACTTTCGCCCGCTGCGCGACACTCTGCCCCCCGACGGGGTGCCGAATGTCCTGGGCCGCGTGAGTAGCAACGGATTCTATAGACTTCTCCTCTCGAAACCGCGCGTCTTCCGGAGACGTCGCAACGGGCCGCCGCCCCTTTCGCTCGCCGCTGCAGACCTCGCCCACCCGCCCACTACTATTAGCATGTGACACCCGCGTTCTCGGCAGCAAACTCCGCCGCGCTGCGCCGCGCCGCTCGCCCGCGACCACGGCCCATCCGTTGGCCTCGCACGCGAGAACTTGCGCGCGCGCTCTGACCCTGCATCGCCCAAATTCACCATGCCCTCCAAGCATCAAACCGCCTTGGCCTTCCACGCGCTCGCACTCCGTCAACTCCGTCACCCCCTGAGCTGCCCCGACGCCTCCAGCCCAGAGAGAATGCGCCGGCACCTGGCGCGCACTTCCTCGCCATCTTCAGGCGCGACACGGGCCGCGCATTGATTGCCGTGCTCGCAGTCGACTGCCGCATGGCAATGCGCATTTGACGCGTTAGCCAGCGAGGGCCCCGAACAATCTGTTTGTAGCAAACATTGTGGCGACATCTACGTTGCGCAATCAATGCGGTGCAATGTATGCCGTACATCCCGAGTTGTTGTGTTCGGCATGTGTGGCGAAATCTACTCGGTACAGTCAACGCGGTGCAATCCGCCGAGCCGAAGATGATGTCGCCAATTCCATTGCTCGCGAAATCGCCCCACTTGCCCACCCGCAACATGGCCTGCCAAACCCGGGCGGCGGCGACTGCCATGACTGCTCGGCGTTGGCCGGCGCATCAATGCGGCCGCGCAGGCGAAGGGGCTCGCGCACAGAGCGGCCAGCTGGTCTGGCGAGACCGACGCGGCAGCGGTTGCGCTGACCGCCAGGCGCTCGCAGGCCGCGCTGACGCGCAGGCACTGAAGGTCGAATCGGCGACTCGGGCGGGGCGGACGCGCTACCGCGGCGACCGACAACAGCAGGCGCAATGATCATAGTGGCGATGTTCGTGGCGAAGATGACAACGACGACGGCACAGGCTACGACGGCGCCAACGCGGATCGCGCCGATGACGACGATGGCATCCTCGGGTCGACGATGAAGGTCGCGATGCAGATTTCGACGCGCGCGCGGCCGACGCGCGAGTGCCGGGCACGGCATGATTCGACGGGGATCGCGCCCCCCCTCCCCCTCCAGCACGCGCGCAAAGACGTTCGCGGGACTTCGACGCGCGCGCGACAGGCCCGTGCGGTTGCATTCAATGAAGCCCCTGGGCGCGCGCGCAGAAGAATTCGCATGGGCGCGCGCGCAGACCCTTTATCAAAACCTGTACTCCCAAACCACGGCATTTCAATGTGCCTCGGAAATCGGGACATTGAATGCATTCGAAAACGATTTGTTTGAAAGATCCCAGCGCGCGAGACGACGCGCGCGCGTGCGATTCGTCCAAAGGTCCGCAAGGGATCGGCCCATTGCGCATCGGCGGTTTCCATAACCGAATGCGAGCGAACACATATAATTGACAAGTCAGATGCTGCGTGGACGTGTGGGGGGGGGGGGGGCGAAGATGGCTGGGGCGTGGGTGATGTGAACTCATCGTAGAATGAACGATGAGGCAAAATCACATGCAAATTGCACAGCCCAGGGGGGACTGGGTGAACCCGGCCTCGGTGGGCGACGCGGTGCTCGGTGCGAATTCTTAGGCTCGTACTTGATTGCGCCGCGTAGACTTGATGTTTCCATGCCAAATCCACGCGGCGTAATTAATTTGAGAAACTTGAAACGGTCAACTCCACTGCCCGCGCAATCACCCCACCCGCTCGCCCGCAAGCCTGATTGCAAAATCCACGCGACACCGACTGCGATGAGCGCATGGCGGCGGCAGCCGCGTCTGCTCGGCCGCAGCGGCCCGCGCGCGCTCGCGCGCGCGGAGGCCAGGTAGCTTGTCGCGACCGACGGGGCCGCGGTGGACCTGGCCGCCTGGCACTTCCCAGCGAGCACTTCAGTGAGGGTCGGCGACTTGGGCGGGCGCGGTATCGTGTCCGCGTCGACGACGGTAGATGCGACGATGAAAGTGGCCATGGTGACGAGGGCGACGGCAATGCCAGTGGCGGCGCCGATCGGGGCCACGCCGATGGCGATGACGATCTCCTCGCGTCGGCCATGAGGGCCCTGGGCGGCTCGCGACGCGCGCGCGCGGCCTACGCGCGCGAATGGACCGCGCTGCATTTCGACAGTGATCGCGCCACCCCGTGCCACGCGCAGCACGCGAGCAGATCTCGACGCGCGCGCGGGAGGCCCGCTTTTCGATCTGGGTGAAAATGGCGGCGAACCTGCAATTCGCTGAAGACTTCGCAAAGCCCCCGCGCGCAGGTTTCCTGGAGGCACGACGCTGTGCAACCACATGATGTTATGCTGGTTCGGGAACCTCGATTCGAAAGCAGAACCAAACCCACAAAGTTGTTGAAAGAATCCGGCACGCGCGCGCCCCGTCGCATTGTTGCAGAGTGGCCCCGCGCGAGCGCGCGCGCATGGGCGCTTGGATGACTTCGGCGCGCTCATTCGCACTTGAAGAAAAGATGACAAACAACTGGCGCGTGAAGAATCCGCAGACGCACGCTTAAATCTATATGGGATAACGCCACGAATCCATTTCCATTGCATATGTTTCCGGGGCGCTCGAGTCAGGCCCCCCTGCGTGACCGAACGTAGTGTTTGAAGGATTTTGGCGCGCGCGCGACCACGCGCGCGCGAACTTCGCCCTGGCTAGCGCAAGGGATCCTTGAAAACGCTGGGTTTTTGGCGTGCCACTTCGCGCGCAAAATGTTCGCTGCAAAGGGTGGCGAGGGGGCGGGAAGGGGCTATCTGGGCTGGCATGCGCCCATAATGTAGGATGGGCGATGGGGCAGAACCACGCGCGCATTGCAACGCAGAAAGACGAGCCAATAAGTCAGGGGGCGAGGGCGGGGCCTGCTGCATTTTGAAAAGGGAGGAGCGATGTGGCGCAATTAATTCTGAACGCCACGAAATTTCCACCACCCCCTGCTCGCGCAAGCATCTCGCCCGCCCGCCCGCCCGCCGCGCGGTTTGCAAAGCCCGCGCGGCGGCGATTGCGATGAAATCTCGGCCGCGCCGCGCTGGTCAGTTCGGCTGCCTTGCATATCTCTGCGGCCGCGCAAGCCCGCGCATGATCGCGCGCGCAGCGCTGGTCAGTTCGGCGCGAAAGACGCGGCCGCGGCGGCGCTGGCCGCCGGGCACTCCCCGGCGGGCACTGGAGCGCGAGTCGGGGCGCGGGCGGACGCGGTGCATGGCGGCGCAGGCAACGGTGGACGCGGCGGCGATAATTGCGACGAGGGCGACGACGGTGATGATGCCGACGGCAAGCCCAATCAAATTCGCGGCGCCGATTCTGGTCGCGCCGACGACGACGACCGCGTCGTCGCGTCGGCAATGGGGGCGCTGTAAAATTAGACGCGCGCGCGCGGCCGACGCGCGCGCGAGAGGCCCGCGCTCAACTGTTCGACAAGGAGCGCGCTTCCCTCGCCCTCCACTCACGCGCGCCCATGGGCGCCCGAATGAATTCGACATGCAGCGCGAGAGCCCCGCCTGGTCAAACTTGACGAAGAATTTCAGGGCAAACCGGTGGCTGTCAGAATTCGCAAGAACGCGCGCACAGACCCGTTCTTCGAAGCATGACCTCACACAACTATGCGTTTTCCAAGCGCTCGGGGGGGCCCGAATTCAACGTGAGCGGTGTCGTTATGTTCGCGCGGCGACGCGCGCGCGTTTCGCCCCGTCCGTTCGCCCAGGGAACTCCCGGGACAACGCGCGCCCAAGCGCGGTCAAATTATTTCGGCGCGCGTGCGCGGGAGGCGCGCCTGGCAGCTTGTGATGAAGATTGTGAGAAACCAAATCGTTACCTGCAGCATTCGCAGGAGCGCGAGCGCGCGCTGTTGTTGAATCTTCCTGTCGCGAAGCAGTGTGTTTCATATGTTTCTGGCGCGCTCGCTTCTGAAGTCCGCGCGAAACGAAACGCGCGCGCTGACGGAGTCTCGACATGCGCGCGCGACGCCTCGCGCGCGTGAGTTTCGCCCCGTTTACGATCCAAGAGATGTCTGCGACAACGCGCGCGCAAGGGCGCTCGAATGGTTTCGACGCGCGGGCGCGGGAGGCACGCTTGGTCGCACTTGATGGGCACGACAAACAGAATATGATTTTGCTTTCGAGAGCTCGCAAGAGTGCGAACGCATGCGTTGCTGCATGCTCCAATTACGAAACCACTTGTCTTGCAGTGCCCGGAGTGCTCGACGTTGAACTCCCTGCGGCGCCCGCGTGCGTTTTTGACGGATGTCGGCAATCGCGCGCGACGATTTGCGCGCGTGAATTTCTTCATATGTGAAGCAAGGGGTTCTTGCCAACTGACGATTTGTGATAAACGAGTGAGCGCGCATGCCATGTTTTGGAAGAGGACGATGATGGGCGGTTAATCACTGCCTGAGATGGCTTGAACCGGATGGGCGAGGGCGCAGAATTACTTCCGGTAGATAATGAGAAAAGATGCACCGTTCAGCCAGGGGGGGGGGGAATAGGTATTCATGTTGTTGGTTGAGTGTGAGAGAGAGAGAGAGAGCGAGAGAGAGAGAGAGAGAGAGAGAAAAACTATGTGATGCCATATACAGTGTGCACTTAACGTCGTGCAATCTATGCGGCGCAACCTATGTGATACAATAGTTGTGTTGCATACTTCGCGGTGCAATTCACCTGACGAACTTGACACTATAAACTCCAGCGCTCGCGCGAACATCCCACCAACCCAACCGTAACTGGGTTTGCAAAACCTATTCGGGAGCGATTGCGGTGAGTGCTGGGTGTTGGCTGGTGCATCTCTGCGACCGCGATAGCCCGCGCATGCTCGCGCGTGCAGCGGCCAACTAGTTTGGCGCGACAGTAACGAGAGCGGTGGCGCTAACCGTTCGGCACATCCCAGCGGGCACTTCAGCGCGAGTCGGCGACTTGGGCGGGCGCGGTATCATGGCAACGCCAGCAACAGTAGACACGATGATGATCGTATCGATGCTGGCGGCGATGCTGACAGCGACGGCGGGGCAGCCAGTGACGGCGCCGATGCTGATCACGCCGACGACGATGACGGCGTCTTCGCGTCGGCGATGAAGGTTTCGGAAAGAATTCGAATGGGCGCGCGGCAGACGCGCGAAAGTGGCCCGCAAGGTATATTTGACACGGACCGTGCCGCCCCAACACGCGCGAAAATGCATTCGAACGATTCCGACATGCGCGCGCGAAGGCCGTTTGGTATCATTGTATGGACATGTTGAAGCACTTCTGTTTTTCTGGAGACTTCGCAAGACCGCATTGCGAAACATCCGTGAACATTCGTGATGCGAAACCTTTTTTCCAATAGCCCAAAAAATGTTTGGACACTCGATGTTGAAATCCTTCCGGAACCCATTGTGTTTGAAGGATTCCAGCATGCGCGCAAGACGACGCGCACGTGCGCAATTCGTCCCATGCGTTGCAAGGGATGTGCTGAAAACTTTTGACTGATAAACGAATGCGCGCGTATAGTATCTTTAACCGGGGATCCGAAGGGGTACCGATACTAGCCTGGCTGGGATGGTATGAGTTCGCTGGTCGGATGGACATTGGGTCAGAATCATACCTGTTTTGCAGGATCCCCCGGGGAATCGATAAGTCTGGGGAAAGGGAAGGCTGTATAATGTTTCCCATTTCAACAAAACATGTGAATGTTTGTGCGGCGACGAAGCGGCGACGGGGTGGCGACGGCGGCCACATAGAGCCAACACGCTGGTACACATGCCCAAACGACGGGTGGCGACGAGGTGGCGACCGGTCGGCGACGGCGGCCACGTAGCCGCCAGACCGAGGACACGGACCAGACGACGGGCGGCGACTAGGCGGCGACGGCGGCCACTAGTCGCCAGACCGATTATACGGCCCACACGGCGGACGGCGACAAGACGGCGACGGGGCGGCGACGGCGGCCACATAGCCGCCAGACCGAAGACCCAGCCCAGTTCCCGAGAACAGAAGTAAAAAAACATTGAGTACAAGCACAGTGTGAGAAACTATATGCTTGTGTGATGGAACTCGCGTACAGCATGTTCATCGGCATGCTGCAGCGAAGACGCAGCGGGGCACGCACCGCCGAAATACGACTATCAACTCAAGCTCGAGAAACCTTCTCGAAGCTCGAATGCACAGATCATGTCAACTAGTATCAACGTGACAAATAATGGGCAATGGCGCCTCAGCGTTCCGTCGCCATGACCCAGAAGAGGAGGTTGTCCATCAAAGCGCTCAAGAACATCTGGGCATCGCAGCGAGCTCGCTTTGCCCTGTTTGCCCTCGCCCCCTGCCCATGGTCTCCCATCGCCTGGACCTGCATACACATTTCTTTCGTATTCTTCTCCATCGCGTCTCCTCCGATACTGCTCCTGCTTCATCGCCTGCGACCGGACGCGACGATAAGACATGTCGTGTTGATTTCTGCTGCCTGGTCTAGAGCAGCATGGTGGCCAGCGGTTGCGCGAAGTTTCATGCCTGTGCGTAAGGCTAAGGCACTCGTGTGCTGCAAGTGTAGCTCCTTCACACGTCGGACAACAGCCAGGCGGCCGTTGGCGCCGCGGCAAGGAAAACCCTGACTCAGAGCAGAGCGAAGCGATGCTACAAAACAAGAGGCCTCCTAGATAGGGTCGGAGTAGATGTGGGTGGAGCATCGCGCCGAATCGCCGATACATCGCCGATGTATCGGCGATGCATCGGCGATGCATCGGCGACGTCGGCGATGCATCGGCGACGTCGGCGCGGAGAAAATCGGGATCCACATCGAGACGCATCGCCAAAGCATCGACGATACGGCGCGATCCTCCGACCCCATCTACTCGGACCACATCTGGGAGGCCCAGAACAACGCCCTTCTCGACCCCCATACTCCCGAGAGGCAAGGCTATAGGGGGAAACCGGCTCCAGCGGGGAAGCCTCGAACTGCATCGACGAGGCAACGCCGCTGCCTCGGCCACGGGCCCCCGACGGCGATGCCGCGCTTCCCCCTCGGCGGCGTGGGCTCTCGGGACCCTCTCGGCGATCCGCGGGTCACCGGGGGCCGGCTGCGACCCCCCCCAGCCGACCCTCCCCCGACGTGGCTCCGGACGCCCCCCGCCCCGCAGCATCGGGGGCGTCCAAGGAGGGGGGGCGCCCAAGAGGAGGGGGCGCAACTCGTGGCCAGCGGCATGTGGGCGGCCCAGGGGAGGGCGGGGAGGGCACTGGAAGCGAGAAAAAGCGCCATGAGAAACCTGGGGGAGGCAGCGCGGCCCCCGCCACGAGATCCACCCTCCCCTGGTCCTCACCACCGCTCCTTGTCGCCCGCGACAACGGCAACGCGGGCGATGCCGTCTGTTTGAAACTCTTCAGGTGCGGTGCGGGGCAGGTGCAGGACGGCCCAGAATCGAATCGACAAATCGTTTCGGTGATCGACAGGAATCGGTTCTTCGGAAATCGGCAGCCGAGTCTGAAAAACTCGAATCGGCGGACATCGGCAGGCCAGCATGCCTCCGATGTGAAGTCGTAACCCGAATCGGAATCACAAGTCGAATCGAATCGAATCGGAAGAATCAAAACGAGCCCTGCAGGTGGCTCCCAACTCGGATTGGGTCGGGCGTGTCCTCCTACAGGCGGATTCTGGACGAAACATAGATAGAGAGTCAAAGCATATTCAAACACTGATCAAACATACTCGAAAAATCGTCCCCAGACTATTTTCTGACTACCTTTCCATATTCCCCCTGTAGAGGGACGTGCCCGACGTAAAACAAAAAAAAACAAAAAAAAAAATCGGGTCGAGACAAGGCGGCCCTGGCGGCCGCCCGCGGCGCGGAGCCCCCGGCGCGCCACGACGATGCCACGGGACGCCCCGCACACCCCGCTGGGGAGCGCCGTGGCCCTCCGAGGCACCCTCCCCACGCTCCTGAGGAGGCAACTACTGGAGGTCTTCGTCGGAAGCATTGAGGGGGAGGAGGAGGAGGAGGAGGACGAGGAGGAGGAGGAGGAGGGAGGAGGAGGAGGAAGGAGGAGGAGGAGGAGGAGGAGGAGGAGGAGGAGGGGGAGGAGGACGAGGAGGAGGGGGGGGGAGGAGGAGGAGGAGGAGGGGGGGAGGAGGAGGAGGAGAGGAGGAGAGGGAGGAGGAGGAGGAGGAGGAGGAGGAGGAGGAGGAGGAGGAGGAGGAGGAGGAGGAGGAGGGAGGAAGAGGGGGAAGAGGAGGAGGGGAAGAGGAGGAGGAGGAGGAGGAGGAGGAGGAGGAGGAGGAGGAGGAGAGGAGGAGGAGGAGGAGGAGGAGGAGGAGGAGGGAGGGGGGGGGGAGGACGAGGAGAAGGAGCACGAGCGAAGATCGAGGAAAAACGGGCACCGACAGTCGATAAAGCCGCCGCCGCAGATCTGCGGAGCTCGGAGGAGCCGGAGTGGACCTCGGATTAAGCGGGATGAAGCGGAATTGAACGGGATCCAGCGGGATGAAACCGGATGACACCGGATTGAGCCAGATTGAAGGGGCCCTGAGACACACAGACAAATACACACAAATAACAGGATTCCCCATGTTTTCCATAGTTTCTCGCTTTCTGTCTTCCCCCCCATTTTCCATATCTTCCCATGTTTTCTGGGGAATCGACGATGGATTATGTCTGTGTGCTTTTCCCTCCTGACAGATGCAGCCGGATCTCGGACCAGGGCAGCATCAAAATTTGACCTCTCAGGCGCTGCATCCGGACTCCGGGGGCCCCCATCCCCCACGCTCCGCCGCCAGGAGAGCTCGGGGAGCGAGGCCACACGGCGGACCGGCGAAATCTCGGGAGCCACGTCGGGAGAGGAGTCGAAGCGGCAGGCATCGGCCGGAAAGGGAGACCTCCACGGAGAAGCCGAAATCCAAATCGGCGAATCCAAAGTCGACTCGGGACATCGAAGTCGAATCGAGTCGGAGGAGTCGAAAGGAGCCCTGTCCCTGGCACCCCTCCCCCGGTGAGCGGGAGTCCCTTGCCAGCCAAGAGCTTCAGGGGGGATGGCAGGACCCATGACCTCCTGAGGTTATCGCATGGCTTTCGGCCGTCTCGGGGCCCCACTGCGTTCACGCCGACAGGTGACTCCTACAGCAGGAGCCCGACCACAAGAAACTTTCCACGAGAAGCCCAACCCTGGAACACCAGGGCGTCCTCTTGCTTTTTGGTGTGGGAACATCACGCCTTCCATCGCCAACCCATCGACACCCAAGAAACCGCGGGCACCCTGAAGGCAAGCAAGGTGCTTCTTGGCATGGGCTTCCACTGTACGTGTAGTCTAGCACGTCTCTCTATCGGGGATCTACTGACACGGGTCAATGCAAACCCGGGTCAGTCAGGCTTTGCAGTATCCTGCTTTGCAGGATCCTGCTGCAAGATCCTGCAGGATCCTGCACCCAAGCCTGGGTCAAGGCGACCCTGGCTATATGCATGATCCTGCAAGATAGGGCGCTCTGGCTGAACCCCTCTGGCATTGACCCCCATCTCTTGATCCCCGATGTGAGCGTTTTCGTATTCGGCATTTCGACACTGGGCGGAAAGGAGGGGAAGGAGGGGTCTGGATCCAGACCTTTGCTTAGTGCGACGGTTTGGAACCGTGCGTCGTGTGGGGGAGAGACACCACCTGCTCGAAACTGGCGCCCAAACCGGCTATGACCTACTCCATGGGGGGGGGGAGGGGGGGGGGAGGGCCCGCGCCGATCGGCAAAGCAATGAATAAGCAAGCGACGACGACCTCTGCCAGCCGACAGCCCTCCCGGCCGGCCGGCGGCGGCAAGCGCGCGCCTCCGAGCTGGAGCGCGCCTCCAGCTGCCGGGGGGCGGGCCCGTCGCCGCGGCAGAGCAGGCAGACCACGGTCTGGCGGCGCGCGCCCCCGCGTACACCGTGGCGGCCGACCCGACCAGGTCGGACGAGAGGGGGGATGCTCCTCCTCCTCCTCCTCCTCCTCCCCCTCCTCCTCCTCCTCCGCCTCCTCCTCCTCCTCCTCCTCGTCCCCCTCCTCCCTCTCCTCCCCCTCCTCCCCCTCCTCCCCCGCCTCCGCCTCCTCCCTCTCCTCCTCCTCCTCCGAGAGGGGGGGATGCAGTCATGGCGCTGCGCCAACTCGTGGGAGCCTCCCATAGGGCGACAAGGTCTATACGCAGCCACTGCTCCCTGGCCAGGCCCACCCTGAACCCAGCAGCGGTGCATACGCCACGCCTTCCTGGCTTGGCCAGAAAGGCGTCTTCTCGGCTCCTGAGTTCAAGCTGGGCATGGCCAGGGAGCAGTGGATGTGTATAGAATTCGTCGCCCGATCCCATACCATCTTGTCGGCCCTTGCGGATCGACGCTGATCGACGCTGCATCGACGCTAAATCGACGCTGAATCGGCGCCACCTCATCGGCTCCCCGACGCTAAGAATATGAGAAGAAGGGTACACAAGCTCCCATGATTTGCTGCCGAAGACGCAGCCATGGCGCTGAACTAAAATCCAGCCCGCGTTCGGACAAGGGCTCGGCAGTTCCTTGGGTCAGCTCGCCCTCCCTGGCAAGATTGGTCGGGAGGCCCTTTTTCCCCAGGCGTCGGCACGTCGGGCGTTGTCACAAGTGCCTCGGGGATGGACAGACCCCCCTTTAGTAAAACGTGGTTTAGTGAAAACGACCTGAGGCCCAGACCTGGCGGGCGCAAGCCTGGAAAATAACGGCCACGGCGCCATCTCGAGAACCGAAAACGGACAATTCACGAATCGACGTGTCACTGTTGGGAGGTTCTGTCCACCTCCGAGTGCCCCTGGCCAAGCGTGCACTCTTCATGTGTCGCTCCATGCTCGGGAGCGGCAAAGAGGGGTGTGTCCAAGAGGGGGGGGGGGTGCAAATCATGACCGGCGGCATGTGCGCGGCCCAGCAGGGGGGGCAGGGACGTAATGAAATAAGAAGAGGCACCATGAAGTCTGGGGAGATATCATGGCCCACGCCATGATATCCACCCCCCGCTAGTCATCACCCCCTTCTTTTCCGCCCCCGACATGCTTGGAGGCCCCGGGGCCGCCGGGGCCTCGCGAGGGGTGCTCTAGAAGCCGTTGGGGGGCTCCTTCAGAATCCGGGGGGCACCTCGGGCCAGCGGCCGGCCCAGCAGCGCCCCGGGAAAGGGGGCAGCAGAGGGGATAGCGAAGCAGCTCACGTAGCTGGCTTTCCCGGCGCTTCCCGACGATGGAAGCGCCCATGTGTCGTACGACGGCGCTAAGGGGAGGGGGAAACGTGCTGCATACACATAGACTTTCAGAAGTCCGCGGGGACGCGTTGGATCTACGCCAGGGGGGGGGCAGCACCGATCTAAGAAACCTGCGCGGAGCGCTGGCCATTTCGATTTCCCGACGTCCGACCCGAACCGAGGGCCAGGGCAGGGAGGGCGTTGCGGGGGACTGCGCTTCGTTTCCCAACGACGCTCTGGCATACAAGAAGTTCTTACCTGGTCTAACGGAATGTGTTTCCCAGACCTCTGCCGGCTCTGCTGATGTTGTGGCCCCCATACTCGGGGTCGGCGTTGGGGCGCTTTTGGAAAGAAGGCGTGCAAAAGGGGGGAGAGGCAAAGGGGTGAAAGGCAGGGGACGAGAGGATGCGGGGGTGGGTGGGGAGACGGAGGAGGAGAGGGAGGGGGAGGAGGGGGAGGGGGAGGGGGAGGAGGGGGAGAACGAGGAGGAAGAGGAGGAGGAGGAGGAGGAGGAGGAGGACGAGGAGGAGGGGGAGAAGGAGGAGAAGTAAGGGGGGAGGATGACAAGGAGGAGGAGGAGGAGGAGGACGAGGAGGAGGAGGAGAACGATCGAGGATCGAGGCATAAAGGGCCCCGACGGTCGACAGAGCAACCGCCGCCGATCTGCCGAGCTCGGAGGAGCAGCCTCGCGTGCAAAAACCTCTGGCTCGGTTGCCGAACGGCGCTGGCACCTCCCTCGGGACCGCGCCGGCTGAAACCTGGACCCGCAGGCAGGCGAACGTTCCATGTGAGGCTCCTCCCGTCGGCATATCTTTCACCCCTCGCAGCCCCCAGCCTCCGAAGACCCCTGTCCTTCTCCCCCTCCTCCTCCTCCTCCTCATCCTCCTCCTCCTCCTCCTCCTCCTCCTCCTCCTCCTCCTCCTCCTCCCCCTCCTCCCCCTCCTCCTGCTCAGACTCCAAGTGTCCAGCACGGCTAATGACCGCAAAACGATATTTCCGGTCCAGTACGTGTAAGGAGCACGCGCAAGATGACAGCAGTGGCGGCGAGGCGAGATGGGCGTATGCAAGATACCACGACGGGCAGAATGAACAACAAGGTCGTCTACTCGGCATCACCAAAGAAAAATAAACCAACCACTGCTGCCAATTCTCCACATTGAACGCATACAACATCACAAATCACTCACTCCCTACCAACACGATGTGCCGCAAAATACCACCCGTGAAAACTTGTCAATCAGAACAATGGGTTTTAGCAACAACCGCTTGCAACTATACATGTGAAGTGCCGTGGGAAATGCCACAATATTGAGTTGGAAGAGAGCCAGAATGTGTATTGACTTGCCCACCAAAAGTGCAGCCTAGCCAAATCACTGCTTTGTATTGCCCGAAAGACACCGCCACCACCCAGATCGGTTGAAGTGCAAGCCACCCAACCTTGGCGGTATGCGTATGGGGAAGAAGCCCCCTCGCACCCCGACACCAGGGGAAGGCGGAATACCCCCCCACACCACAATTGGAAATGTGCATGCGTGTACTCGCAAAGTGAAAGACGTGCCTCACTTGAAATACCACTTGGCGAGACCAAGAATTACTGGAAGTGCAAGCCCGCCACCACCCACAACTGATAGAAACACCTCTTGACCCTTGGCGGCATCCGTCTAGGAAAGACGACCCCCGCACCCCGACCGCCAAGAAAGACATGAATCCAATCTGATGCACCTTCCAACACACATTCCTGTAGGTAGATCGCCCAGGCGCGACTTACGCGGCAGCCTTGCTCCCCCTCAACCCGCGAGCCGAAATTAGATTCGAACCATCCTTGCTTGGACCAGCCCCGCCCGCACGCGCGCGCGCCAGTGCGGCCAGCCCCCCCGTTCGGGGCGCTGAACCGCAAGGACTTCAGGAAGGAGGAGGAAGAGGAGGGGGACCAGTGTTAAGCAAAGACCCATCAACGCTATTGGAATAATCCCTCCCTCGAAGCTCCTTTGTGCAGGCCCCATACACGGATCCATTGCCACGGGAACTAGTCTATCCCGTTGGGGGGCAGCCGTTGCAGGATATTGGAGCGTGCCAGAACACAATTTTCGGTACCTCGACGCCACGAACCAACCGGACTGTTGCAAGTTGACAATCCTGAAACGCTGCAGGACACTATTGATGGTGGAACTTCAACAGCGCACCTTGATCTAATTGCTGCGTCCTGACAGCCCTGAATCGTTCTAAGGCAGAAATTCGGGTAAGTTAACCAGGGGATTCCGACAAGCCTCCAGCAATTTTGCAGCACGAATGCGCGCGGCGTTAAAGCGAAAGCCGCAATAAACAACAAAACATCCTTACTAAACGAAGCGATTGCGAGGTCTAACAAACAAATATTCAAAACAATTGTGCGCCGCATTCAAGCGACAACCAAAATTTAGCCGTGAAACTCATGCAAACAAAACGGAGGGCGCGCGGCGCTAAGGCGAGAACCACATGCTGGAAACCACCCGCCCTCAAGCCGTGAAACTCCTACAAGTTTCTGGAACGTGCGCATCGCTACGGCGAGAGCGACATGTTGAAAACGACCTGACCCAGTCTGCTAAATCATTGCAACTCTTTAAGACGAATGTGAGCGGCGCTCGCGCGAGGCCGAGTTTTGGAAGCATGTTGGAAGCAATGTGTAATGAATGTCGAAGCTTCTCGATCATCCGGCGGTTATGAACTCTCAAGCGAAATGCCCAGCCCGCCTTGTTGACTGGCCTCGGGGCGTGAGAGGGATAAAGTTTTTGATAAGGAACAGGAACGGAGGAGGCGGGGAGGAGGAAAAGGACGGGGAAGAGGAGCGAAGCGAAGCGAAGCGAACGACAGAGTCGCGCGCGCTCCACTTGGGGAGCCCGCCCGTGCCCATTAGGGCATGGCGTGGAGGCCGTGGCCTCAAAAATGCAATGCGTAGGCGGGCTCACGTGATAACCACCACTCTGTGCGCCCAGCCGCCGACAGCCACCGCAAGTCGTTTGTATTGCTGGGTTGATGTTGCCGTGGTTGGGTCGCTGCTAGTATCTGCTCTTGCCCGGCGTCGTCGTCGCACCTGTGCCCGTCCAAGCTGTGGAGAAACGTCTGGACGTCGTCTTCCCACCGTTTTCGTTGACCTCCACGTTGTCGCCGCTCTTGTTGCCGAGCGTTGAGATTCAGGTTCCCATTCAGCACTCTCTGTGTCCAGCGCGTCGAAGGGTGGCGAGCCACAGTGCTCGCCCAGCGCCAAGCCATTCTTCGGTGCATGTGGAGTACATCAGGCATGCAATCTTGAAGCATCAATGTTTCTGATCTCCGCGTGCTTCGGCGGATGAAATCTGACCGCAATTCGACGCCGCCGTCCTGCATAGTGCGCGATTGCATGCCGTCGTCGTCGCTGATATCGTATTGTATGTTGGGTTGGTCGTCGGTTGGGTTGCTGCAAGCGTCGGACTCGCTGGAATCGTTCGGGGCAGTGTTGCTGGTGTCGTCGTTGTTGTTTTGGCCTGTCTCTGGGTGGCGTGGTGGTGTCGGTGTCGTTGCCGTGCGTCTCCCTGGTGTTCCGATGATCATTCGGACCATCCTTCGCTGTGTTCGACGTAACTGCTGTTTGGGAGGCTCTGTCTAAAAACCACGTTTCTGCCCCGTGCATCATAGTAGGTATGACGGCGCCTCTGTACAGTCGCCGTCGGCGTCGCAGAGGATAATACCTGGTGGTGAATTCTTGTTCGCGGCTGCTGGAGCGTGCCCATGCTGCTTGAATCCGGTGTCTTCCTTCGGTTACGATGGGCGTTTTGGAAAGTGGCGGTCTGGCCCAAGTAGGTGACGGTGCTGGTTCGTGGGAATGTGTCGATGTCCATGCCAGCGACGTTGGATGTTCGGTCGTTGTGCCTAAACTGGTTAACCATGATTTTGGTCTTCGCCGGGTGAAACTCTAATCCGCGATGCTTGGCTGAGGTGGTGAGGTCAAGGATCATTGCTTTCATATTGGGTAGCGTGTGGCTGCTCAGCAAAATGTCGTCTGCTAGCCGGAGGCTCTTGAATGTCGATCCGTCAGCGTGACCAAGTTGGACGCCCTTGCGCCGCCTTTGCCAATCTGAGACTAGCGGCGCTGGGACGCGTTGAAGCAGCGCGTTGAAACATAATGAACTCAGCAAGTCCCCTGCTTTGTGCCGCGTTGGAGGTTGAACGGTTCACTGGCGGTGTCGGTTCGGACCGCAGCTGTCTGGTCTTGGCACGTGCGTCGTGGGTCTACGCACCCATTGGGACGTCTTGACGCAGTTGGGCTGCCCACGAGCTGTCGTGCTCGACTGGGTCAAAGGCTTTCTTGACGCCAACGGCTGCAACCCAGAGATTGTGCTTCCAGTTGGCTGTCCGTTCACGTAAGATTCTGGAAATAAAGAGGTGGTCGCGCGTGCGTCTTCCAGGGCGAAAGCCCGCCTGGTCGCCGGGTTGATGTCGCTCCAGGGTGGGTTGTAGCCTGTTGCGCAGTACTAGTCGGCTGAAAAGCTTGTGCTACATCGGCATCGTGCAGATCGGGCGATAGTTCTGTGGAAGCGTCAAGTCGCCTGACTGGGGGTTTGCCGTGATGACGGTCTTTCCCCAGCTAGCCGGTGCATGGGGCGTCTGCCTGTATGATGGCATTGAACAGCTGCAGTGAGGCATGCTGAAGCTCCGCACATGGCTTCTGGAGCATATCAGCGCGAAGTCCATTGGCGCCTGGCGTTTTGCCGCCCATGAGCTGCGAGATTGCTGCGGTGAGCTCCACTGGCGTGAACGGTGGAATCTGAAATGGCTCGGGCATTGCGGTTGGCAGCAGGTCACGGCCGCGGGAAGATATCTACAACTGAGCGTAAGAATATGCACGTGTGTCTGCTATCCCTTGTCCTGTCGTCTGCTTTTCGCCGTCGCCCCCTGCCATTTCGGAAATTAGATTCTTCTTCCGTCATGTTTTGATGAGGCGGGCGTTTTTGAAGCCCTTGTACTGCTCCGAAATGGCGTTCGTTCGTTCCCTCTGGTCTGCGCGTTTCTGTCGTCGGGCAGTGGTGTCTGCTGTAGGCGTGCTCTGGCGCTGCTTGATCAGGTCCTCAATGGTGTCGTCGTGCTGCCAGCGCGTGGAGTCGCGGTCGGCGTTGCTCGCGCCAGGTCGCGAGGGCGTCGCCGCGGCGGCAGTCCCGCGAGCTGCGGAGGTGCACAGGCTCTTCTCGATAGTGCACCTGAGCTCCCGCGGATCTGTCGGCGCCGCTCCTGGCTGCACTGGGAGGCCCAAGTGCCAGCGGCATGTGTCAAGGTCTACGCGTGCCCAAGGTCCGCCGCAGGCGTCGGCGCTGGATGTGGGACGCCCTGGAGGGCGCGCCCGCCGTCTCACCAGGCACCCGAGCAGGGAAGCGAATACGAAATCCGGCATCTGTGGGATCCGAGTCAAGATCTGCGGCGCTCGCGGCCCGGGCGTCGGCGCATGGAGGACGTGGGCTTCGATCTGCCAGCGTGGAGCCGCGCTGTCGCGGGCTGCCCGCGGTCGCGGAGGAAGCGCGCTGTCTGTCTGCGGGCCTGCGGAAGGGAAAGCGTTCGCGATGGCGAGCCCCTCGGTCGCGGCTCAGCGTCGAAACCGCTGCCCTCCGGAGTTCTCGTCTCGCCGCATCCGTGGGGGGCCCACAGCGCGAGAAGAAACATTATTCATGGTCGCCGCGGCTTTTGTCGGCGCTCGATCTGGATGCGGCCGCGCACCAGCATGGGCGTTGAAGTCTGCTGCGAGAGCGGTTCGTACGTTGCGCGCGCGGGCCTCCTGCATCAAGCCGCCAATCCCGTCATACATGCTTTGTACGTGTGCGCGCGTATATCCAGCGTGTGGGAAGCATGCCGAAACCAACTGTGATCGAATGCGCCCCCTTTTGATAGTCACTGTGGCCAGTCTTGCGGCGATTGCCTGCAATTCGGATATATGACGGCCCCGCCGCTTGTGTAAGAGGATTGCTACTCCATGGCGTCGCCTGTCGTTCCCAGACCTTGCGAAAGTACGTCCGTCGACTGTGGCCCACAGTTCTTTTGGCTGTGTCCTCCAGGTTTCGTTGATAAGAATGGCGTCCCATTGGTGATTTTCTACGTCTCGTAGAAGCTCCTCGATGCGGTCATCGGTTTCCAATGGCCTCGCACTCATTATGGATTATGTCGAGGTTGGTAATGCCACTGCTGTCGCTGGCTGGCGCTGGTGGTGCCGGGGAAGGTTGGCCAGAGATGGCAGGAGGGGGTCGCTGTGCACGGCAGCTGGGAACGTTGCCGTCGACGTTTGCGTAGTCCGCTCGTCCGCCGCCTGAGCTAGGGAATGGTGGTCGAAGTCGTGAGGACGCAACCGGAAAGTCGCTCTCCACAGCACCTATTCCTCGCCCTCCTCCCCTCGTCGGCGGTAGTGCTGGTCTGCGGATGTCAACTGTGGGGCTGGGCGTTGCTGCTTGTCGGTGGTTGCCGGCGCTGGTACCTCTGCTGGCCGGCGGTGTTGCTGTCGCAGGTGTCGGTGGTGGCGCTGCTGTCGGTCGGTGCTGGTCTGTGTTGCTGGTCGGACGTGGTTTGTGGAGGTCGGTGTGTTAGTGTCTGGTTTGGCTGGCTCTGCTGGCTGGTCTTGGTCGGCGCTCTTTGTGTTGCTGGTCGGCGGTGGTATTTGAATCGGGTGCTGGTCGGTGTTGCTGGTCCGTGCTGGTCCGCAATTTTCAATGTTTGGGTTGCTTTGGGCCGTTGGTCGGGGAAGGTCTGTGCTGTTGGCGTCGTTCGTGTGGGTCGGTGGTGTTGGTGTCGGTCGCATCTGGTCTGTGTTGCTGGCTTGGAACGATCTGTGTAGATCGGTGTGTGGTCTGATTAATACTGCTGGTCGGTCGTGGTCATTGTTGGTGGTGTTGGTCGTCGGTGGCAAGGTGGGTGCTGGTCGCTGCTGGTCAGTGCTGGTGTGCTGGTCTGTGCCAGGATCGCGAAGCTGTGAATGACCCAGCTGTTGGAGCCGCCGTTCGCGGACACGTCTGGGCTGCTGTCGGAGAAGTACGCCCTCACGCAAACATTGTTTACCGGACTCCTGGGTTAAAGGTCCGAATGTGTCCTGAAAGGCAGTCGGAAAGTACTTGTTGATGTTGGGGTCCCCGAAGGTCCCAGAAATGGCCCTCAAACTCTGAGAAACACAATGGATCAGAGGCGAAACATGTTTTGTGGATCTGGTTTCAAACGAACCACCGGATTCTGGTATGCTGTTCCGCCACTGCTCCATGAACGCCAACACGTCCTGCTTGACCTGGTCCCTGTCTTTGTAGGATTCCATTCATCCGTTTTCCCTCACCTCGGCAACCTTGACACACTTCATTTTGATGACCCCCGTATCCCAAAATATCCGGATCGACTTTTGATCGAAACCTTTGTTCATCAAATGATGTAATGATGTTTGACTTGGCCCAGGGTCTTGTCCATAGTCCGTTTCTCAATCGTGTTGTGTTGCCTGACGCTGCCATTTGGCATGTTCCCCCCTCTTCTTCTGAAGGAAGCCCAACTTGGCAGACTCGGTAGCAAGTCCAAAACTCCGATATTATAGATGGGTTGATGAACGTTGAGATTTTCACATTCCAGCCCTGCATCCCATGTCCCTGCACAATATGTTGAATATGCTGGATGATGTGCTTTCCCTCCTCTTCCTCCTTCAGGCCTCCCATGATGACCTGTAGCTCTCCCTGATCCTGTGGTGGTTGTTGATGGACTTGTGTATGCATGCCATCCCTCATGGTCATCATCGCCGTCCTGATGTGTTCCTAAATCTTGTCGTCCAAGTCCTTGTTGAAAGACTCGCGCGTCACGAACTCGGCCTCCATCTCCGCCCGAAGATTTTCAAGGTCGGCTTCAACATCTTCGACTCGGTCTTGCGCGTCTCGTGACACGTTCAAAGCATGTCCTGCCTCTTCCTTTGCCTCCCTGAAGCTCGCCTTGACCTTAGCATTGCCCGATGTGATTGTTGTGAGTTGAGCGCTCAGGCGAGTCTTGAAGGCCTTGAACCATGGGTGAGGGGCGTCGGAGACTGCGAGCTCCTGATTCCCCGCGCTCTCGGAACCGCCCATGTTGTCGTCTTTACTGTCCTTCGCCTTTTGCTTCTGCGGCGTGGACCGGGTCCTCTCACCTGGTCGCTTGGATCTGTCAGGCCTTCCTGCCCAGAAAGGTGCCGCGAACTTATCGCGGTTCGTAGGTAGGATGCGGGGAGTGGTCGGAAAGGAAAATAAGCCTTGATGCCTTGATGCCTTGATCAAACCAGCAGGAAGAGGAGAGGGGGGGGAGGAGTAGTAGTGAGGAGGGAGGGGGAGGGGGAAGAGGAGGAGGAGGAGGAGGAGGAGCAGCAGGAGGAGGAGGAGGAGGGGCAGGAGGAGGGGGAGGGGGGGGAGGAAGAGCAGGAGAGGGACAAGGAGAAGGAGGAGGAGGAGAGAAACACAAAACCGAAGACGGAAGGCAGCAACTCAAAACCCGCCCGAGGCCTCGCCGTCGAACGCCACCGCGGCGAAGGCGGCCTGGACGTCGGGGGCGCCGGGCAGCCGCCCAGCCCGCTCGATGCGGTGGAAGCCTGGCGGCCCGGGGGGCGCCCGCGCCGAAAGGAAGGGGGCGCAGGGGCGCGGCCCCCACTTGGCGGACGGCGGCGCCTCCGAGTCAGAAGTTAACGGGCGAAGAACGGTAGAAAATAAACTTTTCCGCTGTCGGGGGCGCCTGTCCCTGGGCGGCTGGAAAATTTATACCCTTACGGTGGCACCGTAGGGGTATAAACTTTCCAGCCGCCCAGGGACAGGCGCCCCCGACAGCGAAAAGGTTTATTTTATACCGTTCTTCGCTCGCTGAGGAAGGGAGAAAGGTACCGACAGAGAGGAGGCCCGTGCCAAGAAATACCCTGCATGCCTGCAGGGTGCCCTGGGCTTCCTGGGCATCGATGGTCTGGCTGCGGGGGGGGGCGTGACACGCTCCCGCGCCAGAAATCCATGGGCGCCCTGGGGTCTCCGGGTTGGGCTTTTCTGCAGAGGGTTTCTTGTGGACTGGCCTCCACTGTACCACATGTTCGTTCATAGTCTCCGGCCTCCCAAGGCCTTTCCAGGGCCTCGAGGCCGTCCAAAACACTGCTGGGGATGAAACACCGGTCCTGGGGGAATGGTCGAGACGTCAGGGGCCCGACTCGTACCGCTACCGCTACCCTTCCCTCGTGTTCGCCTTTTTTTGTTGTTGTTGTTGCCCTTACGGTTCGCTTCCCCCATCTCGCGTTGCCAATCTCGCTTCGCTGGGGTCGCGCCGGGCGGACAGACCCGGCGACCGCGACTTTAACATGAGCGCGCAGGTTATCGTACGAACGGGCAGAACGTTAAACCGAGCGGGATTCAGAAGAGGACAATTGAGCTAGCACGGGCTACATTTGCCGCCGCTACAACAATACCCCCTTGTGCACTGGTCCCAAACTGTGTTTCCGCACTGATATCCTGGAACAATGTAATCACCCACACAGCAAGTTTCAAACTTCTGATAATCGAAATTATGCTCCCTGAAGCAGCAGTAAGTGTTTGCTTGAGGGCACTCCAATTTGCACTTCGAGGAACGGATATGCACGTCGCCAGGATGTTTATGCTGGCGGTGCATGGTAGAGTTGAGGTTCTGGACATCGATCGGTATATCCTCCACTCTCGCCTCCTCATATTGTTTGTGGTCTGGCGTCTCGTCCTTCCAAATGTTCGCGATTTGCGGTGACTCGGTGGGAATTCGGAGAAACCTCACGGTTTTGGGACCTGGATCGTTCACAGAGGCCGTCTCGGGCGACGGGGGGATCCCAGAGCAGTGCGGTGACGCACCGCGCGGTGATGTGCGGGGTTAAGCTGGATTCAGCGGGATTGAACCGGAATAAACGGGATTAAGCCGGATTTCGGACCAGGGCGAAGTCAGAACTTCCGCAGGGCTTCGGATGAGAAGACCAACGCCTTCTGAGAAGGCCCGCCCCTTTCATCTGGACGCCAGCAACGGGTACGAAACAGTGGGTGCGATGCCCAGCAACAGGTGTCGTCCAACTCCGACAGCAGCCGCTGTCGGGCAGGCGACTGCCTGTCTCAAATGGATGCCGTCCGCGGCGACACCGACAGCGAGTCCTGCTTAGAATTAACATAGAAGAAGAACAAATACCATAAACATAAACTTTTGGCGCTCCGCGCGGATTTTTTGGATCTGCGCCAAAGCGCCTCCCTGGCGCGCGGAGCGCGCCAGGGGCGGCGCTGGAGGCGCCGCCAGGGGGGCCCAGCGCGGAGCCAAGAAATCCGCGCGGAGCGACAAAAGCGAGCAGGGAGATTTGGGAGGAAAAAATAAAAGACAGCAGCGATTCAAACATGGTAAAACAAAGAATCGAGAAATCGTACCCAGACTACTGTTAGACTAACTATGTTTGAGCATTCCTCCTGTAGGGGGAGATGCCCGACTTGAGACTCGGGTTCGTGAGACTCGGGTTGGCCCGACGGTGCCGTCAGGAACATGGCGAGACCCAGTATGAGATATGCTCCTGGGTCTGGCCCCTCCCCGAGGCGAATGGCCAAAGCCCAGGAATCTGGCGCCCTTGGCATGCGCTCCCCAGTCCATGGCCCAAGGAGGCGATATTTTGATACGAATCCCGTTACAAATGCCAGTGACCAGCCCGGCCCACACCCCAGATCCCCCCGCCCCGTCGTCAAGGCGCACAGCAGGAACAACCGATCGTAGGTTAGAATATAAAAGATATTGAACATGAGGAAACAACCGAATAACATGACGGACGCCAACACAACGGAAAGAGTGTGAATGTTCTTCAAACGAGTCGTTCCATTCGCACCACCACCGTCTGAAAATCTGTCATTCCGGAGCATTCCCAGACGGCGTCCACGCACATCGTGACGTGACCGACCCCCTCCGCCCCCTCCTCCGGGGTTTGCCCCAAGGGGGGTCTAGCGAAAAGGCGGTAGTGCAACAGATCTTGTGCAATATATTTGCGGGACTGCAATGGAGGTGGGATGTGCAATCAATAATAGTGCGTGATTGCATTGCTGGACTTTCGCGTGGCATGCACCCGTTGCAATACCATGCAGCACGATTCTCTGGCGCGGTGCACTTGAAAAGGCCTGAAGTTGCCCCGCAAATCAAACTATCGCACCACCCCCTCTCATTTGGACCTCGCGAGGACTCGCGCCCATTAGCGCCAGGGGGCGAAGGCGCGGCCCGAGGGGGGGGGGGCGAAGCAGCGGGCGGAGCGACGGGGGGGCGGCCGAGAGGCAGGCACACGGGGCGGAGGAGGAAGCGGAGGAACGCAAGGGCATAGCTAAGAGAAGAGGGCAGGCGTCGGCAGCAGCCACACAATGAGGACGACGACGACGTCGACGTCGACGTCGACGTCGACGACGACGACGACGCCGACGCCGACGACGACGATCACGACGACGACAACCGCCGCCGCGGGGCGGGGCCTCGCGCCCGCCGCAGGAGCCCGCCGCGGCGCGCCGCGCGGCCGGGCCGGAGGCCGCCGCCAGGCGCCCGCAAGAGCAATAACGAGAAGAGGGCAAAAGAGTTCAGTCTCTGGCGGCGGCGGCCGCTGGCCTACCTGCGGGATGGAGCGCGCCGTGAGGCTGAGGCCGCCGATGCTGCAGAAGGAATCGGATGCCCGCTCTGCGACGGGCCAGCACACGCGCTCGCGCTCTGAAGAAAGTGCACACACACAGTCAGGACCATACCGATCCTGTCTTCTTAAAGTATTGTATGAGCTAAGAAGTATACTATGCACAAGGAGACCGGGGGGGGGAAAAAACCTGGCTGGGAAAGGGGGCCCCAAGGGCACAGAACATATGTTCGAATCGAATACACACGCTATAGCATGTAGGCAAATGAGGCAGCACACCAGGAAGGACACCCACAGCAACAGGACAGTGCCGATAGTGGTCAACAACATCATCGGATAAAGCCGTGCACCCGAAAAGACGCGACAGGGTCCCTTGGCGAAGCCGTCTCGTAGTAGGCCACAAATTACAGATGGACCCGATGCGCGATGCGGCAGCATAAGGGCCAGCATGCTTAAACGAAAGGCGCACAAACCGGAAAGCGGCATCAGGAACCTCAAGAGGGGCCGCAGGCCAGAAGTACCGTACATGGTGCCCCAAGAGCACAGCCACGGAAGGGACCTCGCGCCGCCGCCTCGGGGCCCTGAACATGTTCCTCTGAAAGCCCATGATGTCTTCGCCAGCGAGGTGGGGAACTACGGCGGTTAGCCTGCGATGGTTGCCAAGGCAAATGAAAGAAGCAGAATCCCCCCCCCATTGAGACACGCGCGGAACAGCAAAAACATCTAGATCAGACTGCTCGACGCGATGAACGCGAGCAGACAGTGTCGACTAGTGCAGAGCGACGAGCAGCACCACGATAAAGGGCGGCCTGCTCCTCGCAAGATATGTCGCGAAGAACTGCGTCGATGCCGAACTGGCCAGGGTTCTTAAGAAGAGACGTAGACGGAACATGACGAGGGGCGTGCTCGGCAGCGACGGATCGAACGCTGATCTTGTAGAACTGGCTGATATGCGATAAGACGGGCTGGGCCAAAGAAGTACAGGCGCAAATTTTCAGAATCATGGAATTTCTCAAGGAACGCACTTGGGCAACTCTGTCCAGTGATTTCTGAGAAGGCACTCTCAACGATGCACCCGTGCCATCGCAGCAAAGAAAAATACAGAGATACTTAGCACCGGTAACAATGCGAACTTGACCGACAGGACTGCCCAAAGCAGCAAGGGCGCTCGCGAGAGTCGAGGTTGCCGCACTTCGAGATTAATCCAAAATTTTACTAATGTTCAACTTGAGGCCCGCGGCGGGACTGGCACTCTGCATCCAATCAAGAATGACAGGCATGGAGTTCGAGAGACCACCAGAAGCAATGCCGTAATCGTCAGCCCACGCGGGAGGGTAAGACAGGGCGCCCTTCATGTCGCCGGCGACGACCGTGGGCCGCAGAATCAAACGCGAGAACAAAAATCAATGCCGAGAGCGTGCGCCCCTGTTTCATGCCGCAAAAGATATGAAAGCCTGGGGGGATCCATCCACAGAGAGCATCGGGACATGGAGGTTTCGTGCAACGGGCGCACAACATGCGCAGCGCGAGCATAGACCCCGAGCCCCTGAATCGCACGGAAGATCCACCCGCGGAGGGCGCCCAGGAACGCCGACGCTGCATCCGGGAACATCGCGCCAGGGAGCCCCACCCCGCGGGAACAGGCTCGCTCGAAAGACCCGGACTCCAATTCGGCAGCGCTGCCCAGGAGATTGCGACCACGAATGAAACCGCGCTGGCACGACGCGATCGAATGCTGAGCTTGAATATGGACGGCGACGGCAAAGGCGGCAGACAGGAGCTTGTTGTCGGAGCAGCTGAGTGTAAGCTTACAGGTTTGCTTAGGATCCATGGTAGATTTTGCCTTATCGTCCAATGCATCAACCTTGGGAAGAAAGACGAGCGCGCTTTCGTTAAAGCCCACAGGTGGAACGTGCCCACGGAGAAGGGCAACACCGGCCTTATAGAGGCAACGCGGGGCCACAGGGCCACCGATTTCACACCCGCTGCAAGGGATCCCGTCGGGGCCAGCGGCAGAGTCCTCACGGTTCACGAACGCCGACCGAAGTTCAAACTCCGCCAGCTGCCAAGAGAAACCAGGGGGGGGGATGTTAAAATTCACACGCGAGATCAACCAGCACAGAAGGCGACGGAAGGGGGGCACGGGCAGGGGCGCGATGCACCTCGCCCCAACGCACGGCCAGGCCACGCGCAGACTGCTGAATCGGCGGCGGGCGGGGTGCGTGCGTGCGCGTGGGGGGAGGGGGGGGGGGGGCCAGAGAATCTCCAACGGCAAACGTGGCAAGCTTGCGTCGCTTCAAAGCCAGCGGCCTCATGAGAGCCTGCATGCAAGCCTGTCGCGCAACGTCAATGTGCCCAGCAGCGGCAGCGCAGTCGTTAAGCAACATGGGCGATATCATATCGGCATTGAACGACCTCAGGTATTCCAGAAACCCATCATAGACCACGTGGCACGTGTTATGGAAATCGTAAAACGTGCTAAGAGCAGGCAATGCGCGACGGCACGCGAGGAGATGGACGTGTCCATGAGCACGAGCGGCACGCATGAATCTGAGACATGCGGCAATCTTCTGACGTCCATCAGCAGACTACATTTCCCGAATTAGAATGTCACGGACAACGAACCTGGCAGCCTTGCACACCTGCAAACAAACAAACGGGTCGTCGCTCAACTCGAACTTGCCCAATATATTTTCAACCAACTCAGGAACACCAGGATGCGAGGAAACCCGCCGCGGGAGAGACCGAGGGCCAGTCCCAGGAGCACCTTGAAGAAACACATGCATATGATCAGAACACTCCTGGAAGAGGTGCTCATGCCCGGCTCCAGCTCGACAATTGCCTAGAGCCGCTTGGCGATGAGCGCAGATACCCTCTCGGCCAAAGCATCGACGAAGTGCTGCGAGAAACCAACTTCCAACGTATCGCTCTGGGGCGAGACCATGAACGTGCCCAGCTCGTCCCCATTCTGGGTGATCCTCACCAGATCCCAGACATCCTCGGTCGTAGAGTTGGACAGATGCAGCACACCAGCACATGGATTCGAACCCAGCCTCATGCCAAGGAACCACAACCATTTCAACTTCACCTCACGATGAGCAGAATGTCAAGACTTCCCCAAAGCAAAAAACAAACCAACAACAAAAGACGATGGCGAATCGGAGAAGGTTGATCCGAGGCAGCTCTCAACGAAACCACAGACCCCTCACGAGGGTCAGTCCAGGTCGAGATGGAAGGGTCAACGCGCGAGGCAGCATGGAAGAGCTGGGTGTCGTCCTCATCCTCGGACTTGATAGTGTAACTGTATTTTCAATTGTGCACCTGCACCCGACATGTGTCTTTGCACTCCTTGGCCATATTTGACTTGATAACCAGGAAATTGTTCTGAAAGGTGGTGGCCATCATCACTCTTGACCACCCGAGCGATCGGCACCACAAGCCGCCGCAGGAAAGGTATATGACCACGGGTCGCCACGAGAGGAGACAACACTACCAGATAGGCGATACAGTGGATGGTTCGGCGAGCATGTTTCCCAACTTCTGTACTCGAGCTGTGAGTGCAACGTCAGCAGCGGCAGAGGCGGGAGGCTTCCGAGGAACACCGCCGCTGGGGTCGCCGTCATCGCCAGAGACGCCCTCGCCATCTAGGTCGGCGTTGCCAGAAGCGGAGCGCATCTCGATGGCGGCCATGCGAGCAGCAAAGGCGTTGAGTTGCCCCCGTAGGTCGTTGACGTCCCTGCCGAAAGCATCCAGGCGCTCGTTGACGTTAGCGTCAAGTTGTTTGATGTCATGCATGTTCTCCGTGATGATGCTGGAGAAGGTGTTAATCTGCAACTGTATGAGCTTGAACCCTTCTTGAAGCAGCTCGCGCCTTGCGGCAGCATAGAGAGCCATCAAACACAGATAGCGGCCTTCACAAAATGCGTGGCGCCCCGCCGGCAGGGGAGCGAAAGCAGCAAGGTTGACCGCCTGGGGCTGAATCCAGGATCGTTCTGTGAAGTGAGCTGCCACACTCAAGTGGGGCCTGTCCCCACCCTGCGCCAAAATGGCAAAAAGGAGGAGGGGAAAGAGGAGGAGGAAGAGGAGGAGGAGGAGGAGGAGGAGGAGGCGGACGTGGGGCAGGGCCCCGGGGGAGGGTGGGCGCGCAGCCACGCGCGCGCGCGCGAAGGGCGAGGGAAGGGGTCCTGGGGGGCTCCACGACAGCAGGTCCGGCAGGGAGTCCGCCACCGACTCGGCGCGCGCGTGCGGGCACGCCTGCCGGGGGCGCAAGTCCACACCCACAGCCTCTCGGGGTCTCCTCCTCACTTCTCCTCCTCCTCCTCCTCCTCCTCGTCCTCCTCCTCGTTCTCCTCCTCCTCCTCCTCCTCATCCTCGTTCTCGTCCTCGGCCTCGTCATCGTCCTCGTCCTCGTCCTCGTCCTCGTCCTCCTCCTCCTCCTCCTCCTCCTCTTCCTCTTCCTCCTCCTCCTCCTCCTCCTCCTCCTCCTCTCTGGTCCTCGTCATCCTTCTCCTCCTCCTCCTCCTCCTCCTCCTCCTCCTCGGCTCCGGGGCGCCATCCCGTGGATGCGCGGTCGCATATGGGCACGTTCCGCGCATGGGGGCGGCCGCGAGGAAACGACGCCCGGAGGTATCGAAGGGGTCGCGGTCCAGGAGCCCGGCCCGCGAGGCCGCGGGCATGGATGTGTCTTCTACTCCAGATTTCGTAATAAAGGGAGGGGGGTCTCATTTCGGGGGGGGTCTCTTCCAGGCTATCTTGGAGGGCCTGGGGGGTCTGGGGACGATGTTTTGGAGGGTTTTCCCACGGGGGGGGGGTCTGAAATGGCTTGTCTTGGAGGGTCCAGACCCCCTCCCTTTTATTACGAGATCTGGAGTACCCACGAGGGGCGCAGTGGAGGCCAGTCCACAAACAAAAACCTGCCACGAGAAACCCAACCCTGAGACCCCAGCGCGTTCTTTGATTTTTGGTGTGGGAACGTCGCGCTTTCCATCGCAAGTCCATCGAAGCCCAAGCAACCCAGAACACCCTGGAGGCAAGCAGGGTGTTTTATGGCACGGGCCTCCGCTGTGGGGCGGGGGCCCCGCGAGCAGGGATCGCCATGGAGCTGCAAAAGGCCCTGCAAGTTTCACGGGTCCTGTGTTCTGCTCCCTGAGATCCGAAGTGCCGAAAAACAATTACAACATCGTATGACAATTCACGCCCGGAGCCCTAGACGCAAAGTTTCTCCGTCGTTTTGCAAGCCAGATCGCTCTGTGAGGGCCCGAGGGCCCGAAACAAAGCGAAAACGCCCGGCTCGAAATAATTGAGGCGCGAGGATCTCCGGGCCCGTTTGGGATCCTGGGGCCCATCGTGACCCCCTCCCCTTTCTTAGGTCGGGCATGTCTCCCCACAGGCGGAATGTGACACGAAAAGTATAACAGTGTCAAACAATGAAATATGCGGGGCTCCAAAAGATATACCACCACCAGGCGGCCATAGGAGGAACGGCACAAATCCTGCGCGCGCGACTGCCCTGACAGGGGTGCTGCTGCCTGCCCCCGCCAAGCGCATGTGTTTGCAAGGTGGTCATGCGCGCGGACGGCGGCCGCATTCGGTCGCGAGTAATCGTTCCCACGCACCCTATGGCAGCACGGTGGTGGTGTATAACAACGGCCCCCCCTGGGAGTTTGATACACCACCCCGAAATATAAACCACGTGAATGTGTTGTTTTTTTTCCCGCATGCAACCGCGTGCCCAAATGACGCTGCACACGCGACCTGCCATTACCGCGAGACTTGACGCACCCTGCAACCCACCGCCGAAACAATAATCCGATCAACCCCCATGACAGAAAACCAGCCCGCACGAAACTCACTTCGAAAGCCGGGGCGACATTCTCCAGGACAATCTGGGCCTCTCCCACTGTTTTCCGAACGAAGTCCGCTCTCCGATGTTGGCGCCATGACACGAGGGGTGTGGCGGGGGCACGAAAAATCGTCACCAGACGACTTGTCCACTCATCGTGAATTTTCCTCCCGTAGCGGGATCTTAACCCTTCCCTCTCCCCCCTCCTGTCACTGCATCGACCTTGCAGACGTGCTGCAGCGGATTGTTGCATGGATTTCTGTCCATGCAAGACCCCCAAAACGGCGAGCGGGCGAGCAAAAGACGGAGTGACTTTCACGCGCAATTGCTGTAGTCTTCATTCCTCGCCAGAAACAATCCGCACGAAATTCACTTCGAAATCCAGGTCGACATTCTCCAGGACAATCTGAGCCTCTCCCACTGTTTTCCGAACGAAGTCCGCTCTGCGATGTTGGCGCCATGGGCCATGGCACGAGGGGTGGGGCGGGAGCACGAAGAATCGCCCCGTTGCGAAGCAGGGATGTATCACTGTCCACCTCCCGGGAACCGACGTCCTGGTGCCCCAGTGGGCGGTGGATCTGGATCTGTTTTGGCCCCTGGGGGGGCCCGAGTATGTCCATACCCACCGCCTGCCGAGGTCCCCGAAAACTGATCCTCCAGACGATGGTCATGTACACATTTGAAGGGGCCCAGGGGCGCACAAATAAACAGACCCAAATAACCGGACTCCCCATAGTTTCCCATATTTTCTCGGTTTTCGTCTTCCCCCCCACTTCCCATATCTTTCCAGATTTTCTGGGGGATCGACGATTATCAGGAGCGGCCAAGAGGGGGAGCTTCAAGAGGGGGGGTGCAAATCATGACCGGCGGCATGTGCGCGGCCCAGCGGGGGGGCCAGGGACGTAATGAAATAAGAAGCGGCGCCGTGAAATCTGGGGAAATGTCATGGCCCACGCCATGATATCCCCCCCTCCCTAGGCATCACCCCCCTCTTTGCCGCCCCCGAGATTCTTTGTGTCTGTGTGCTTTTGCTCCCTCCTGAGTCAGGTACGTGCACATTCCCGCCCCGTGGTCTTCCGTATTCCCCCCCCCCACTTCTGGGTTTTCGTCTTCCCCCCCACTTCCCGTATCTTTCCATATTTTCTCGGGGGTCGACGCTTCCTTGTGTCTGTGTGGTTCTGTTCCCTCCTGAGCCAGGTACCTACACCTTCCCGCCCCGTGGCCTGCCGCCGCTCGCACGGGGCCCAACTGCCGCCCGACTGGGCCACGCAGCGCGCCGCCTCTGCACCGGAGAGGCGGGCCCCGCCGCGCAGCCCCTCTGCGCCTCGATCGCCCCCGCCCGCGCCTCCTCCGGCGGCCTCCGATCAACGCCACACTCCTTGGGGGCCCCCAATGACGAACGAGCAACACACACCCATATACCCATAGGGGGGTCGTTGGGAGGAGGACTGGCTGTGGGTATGGGTGCGGGTTGTCGGATCCTGGGGGACGCTCCTGTTCGAGCGGGGACCCCCAACCGTGCGGTGTGACCTCGAATCCCCACCGACTCACCGCACGGTGCGGTCACCACACCGTTTTGGGGCCCGCGACACTCAGGGGCGCGCAAGCGTAAATTCGCGATCCATGGATTCGGCACGCGGCCGCCAAGTCCATGGATCGGGGGAGGTGCCCTCCCCAAAGTGCGGCCGGTGCCGCCTCGCTCGGCGGCGGACATCCGCGATCTCCCACGGAAACGGCACCCTTCGCTTATCCACGCCCACTTGGTCCATGTTTGCGATCACCTGACGCACGAGCCCATCGCCCCCGGCCCGTGCTCCCCTCCCTCCCCGGCGGCTCTCGAGCGTTGGAGTCGGCTGGGGGCTCTTGAGGAGGCCAGCAGCGTTTCTGGCCAGCGGGGAGGGGAAGAGGTTCGTAGTTCTGGGTTCGGAAAAGGCTTCGCCTCTGTCTTTCGGGCTCTGGGGGCCGCTTTCAAGCCCCGGGACCGTCAAGAACAGATCCGGGGTGAAACGCTGCACCAAATGAGCCCCGCGAGAGTTCCGACATGGGCCGGGGCCTGGAGACCGATTTTGAGCGGATTTCCCCCTCTTGACCGATTTTCTCGGAGCCCAGCCAGGTTAGATCCCTCGGCCGCCCCCAACTCCAACTACTCGATGCTCCCCCCCACCCGGCCCGCACCGCGAAGAGCACTGGCGGCGGAAAGATGCCCCCGGCGGGCGCGTCGAAGCCGTGGAAGGGGGCAAAGAAGACCGACAGGGGCATCGCCTAGGCACAGAGCAGGCTTCCTTAGGAAGCAACTACTGGGAGGTTTTCGTCGGGAAGATTAAGGAGGATGAAGCCCCATTTGGAAGCTGTTACGCCGGAGTGGGCCTCGGATTAAGCGGGATTAAGCCGGATTAAGCGGGATTAAACGGGATTAAGCGGGATCACGCCGGATTAAGCCGGACTTCGTACCAGTGCAAAATCAGAATTTGACCTCCCAGGAGTTGCATCCCAACCTTCCTGGTGGTCACTGGTTGAGGGGAGCAGTATGGGGGGGGGAAGGCTCAGGGGGTATGTAAACATCGACCTGGGATCGGCGATACATCGCCGATAGATCGGCGACAGGCTCGCGATAGCAACTCCGCGCGCTCCTGGGCGGGCGTGCAATGAGGAGCCCGTCGGCAATAAATGGGCGACTGGGGGTCGATGCGTCCCCCACGGAGCCTTTTTCCCCGTCAACGTTGCCCCTGCCTGGTGCTCCTCCCAAGTGCGCCTCTGGGAGTGGCCAGCAGGGCGGCGTGAAAGAGGGGGGCTCGCAATCCTGACCACCGAGGCACGTGCGCGAGCGAGGGGGGGACCAGGGGACACATCGAAAGAAGACGATGCGGCCATGAACTCTGGGGAGACATCATGGCCCCGGCCATGATGCAGTCGGACCCAGGCCAGAAGAACATCCTTCAGGAACGTGAGACCCTCCGCTGGCAAAAACATACGGAACATCCGAGGGCACCCTCCCATATGACGCACAAGAACCTGCAACGAACACGATGAACACGAGGGTGCTAGAAGAAGAAGAAGAAGAAGAAGAAAAATAAACTGCATAGACACGAACGTTTGGCGCTCGGCGCGGATTTCTCGGATCTGCGCTGGACTTTCCTCCCTGGCGCGCGGAGCGCGTGAAGGGCGGCGCCAGGGGCGCCAACCGGGGGGACCCAGCGCAGATCCGAGAAATCCGCGCCGAGCGCCAACAGTTCATGCTTGTGACGCTTCCTCTTCGTCGAGAACGCGAGGGCACCCTCCCCGAACCGACCTTGGTCTTCTACCTCGGTCCGACTCTACCCCCCCCCTTCTTGGCCACCATCCCCGGTGCCGGTGCTGGCCGCCAGGGCCGCTCTGCGGGGGCGCGTGCCGTGGGCGCCTCCACCCCCGCGGCCGCCCTCGAGACTCCCCTCGCCCGCGCCCCTGCGCCGCCGTTCCTTCGCTCCCGCTGCCGCTCCCCCGCTGCGGGCACGCGCTACAATTGAATCCTGCGGAGGAGGCGGAGGATGAGGATGAGGATGAGGAGGAGGAGGAGGATGAGGAGGAGGATGAGGAGGAGGAGGAGGATGAGGAGGAGGATGAGGAGG